AATCATAAAATATGCATTTTTCACAACCCCAAAGCTCTCGCCCAGCTCCTGCCCTAATGAACACTTTTGCACTCAGGCATTGAGTTATTTTTCTTCATGAAATTACCAAATATTTGCAATAGATCTCCCACAGGCAAGACCTGTTTCCTGCAAGGCCTGCCCAAGAGCACATTCTGTCTGGAGATTAATTTCAAGTATACCGTGGGTAAACTAGAGTTAATTTTTTTCTTCAGGTCCTTACTCCTAAAGTATAGCTATTTTTTTAAAATAAAACTAAGATGCAGCCTAATAATTCTTGCATGTAATTTAATCCCCTTCAGCCGTATTTGTAAAATTACCCATTTCATCTAACTCCTGTCAGTTTTACAATTAACAATGGGCACATTAGCTGCACTTCATGACTTGGCTGTTTTCCTTAACAAAAAGTGAATTTATTATGAGCAACTTGTTTTCAAAGTCCTCCCATGAACCATGAAGACTGGTGTTCTGCATTTTCACATTGCAGCCTTCCGCTGCAGGGGACAGTGTAATTTACGTCTTTATTAAAATCATTGTTTACACTCTTTAAACTGTTTTAGACTCTGGGTTGTCTTTGGCCAGCCCTAGCACTGTATGAGGCTTCACTATTGCTCATTTGGCAGGCATGTGGGCTGGAAATGCTGCAGGATTGTGCCTGAGGAAGGTGTTAGGTGCTTTTCGATGCTTGTTTCCCCAGTACCTGTGACGCAGCAAACCCAGCCCTGGGCACAGTCTGGGCGTGCAGGGGCAGCTGCAGGCACCAGCAAGGATGAGCAGGCTCAGAATCGTGGCAGCTCAATCCCAGAGCTGAGGCAGTAGCTGGGGAATAACACACCATTGTTTTATGGCACACAAATGGGCTTTGGGTTGGTGGAAGGTGGTCCTGCTCTCTCAGAATCTGTGGGTATTGATGATTCCGAGATTGTAGAAAGTCTCTGTCTTTCTGCCCCGTTGCCAAAGCAGAAGCCATAATTCGTCTGTGCTGTTTTCAAGGTTGCTTATTCTTGCTTATCTCTAACATGTTCTGCTGCCCTGCCGCAGGTCTGTCCTGCAGGGCAGCGTGTGGGGCTCTGCCCTCAGTGGGATGTTACAAACATTATATACCAGAAACTACCTGTGCTGGATTTACAATAACGTGCCAATATCTGTCACCTACGTTGGACAGTGTGTCCCCAGCCTAAACCAACAGAAAAATGCCAACACCACAGTGAAACATGGAGGGCATGAAGAAGGAGGAAAAGGACAAGACACACCCAATTTCCTCCATCTTGTCCTCTCTGAACCCCTAATCTAGAAACCTAAAATTTTACTTTTGCACCCGTGCCACACTTAATTATTACTTATATCAAACACTCAGAGCTTGTAATTCATCCTGTAAGATTGAAAACTCTTTTCCATGGACAGAGATCACAGACAGTGTCTCTTGGGGCTCTGTACAGGGGGGTTTCTGATGCCCTGCCAGGGTCCCAGGCAATCCAGGGCAGTCAGAGGGAAGCCCTGGATTCCCACACTGCTCATGGAAGGTGGTTGGAACTAGAGGATCTTTAAGGCCCCTTCCGGTGCAAACAGTTGTCTGAAATGCAGGGCTATTTGCAGGCACTTTGAATATGAAACTTCCCAAATTGTAAAGATAACAAAAGGTAAAATTGGAACAAATATGAAAGGGTGAATAAAGCAAACCTCATTAAGTGACTTCTGAAGTGTATTCTGCTTAAACAACAATATGCCTTAAGGAAAATTCGCTCTCTGCTCTTCAGCAAGGAGCAGTGAAATGAAAAAGTCTCTTTCATTAGCACCAATCTACATATATATATATACACATATATATATATATATATATGTGTGTGTGTGTGTGTGTGTGTGTGTAAATATACATGTAGTTGCAAGTGTGTCAAGATTATTTTTCTTTGTAAAATGAAGTCACTGTTTGGTTTCCATTATGAAAGGAAATGTGCATATCCTATGGGCTAAGCAAATACAGATGCTATTTTGCACAAAAATACAAACCTAAGTGACTATTTTAACCTGGGCCTACACTGGAGTAAGATTATCACAGGTGATTCTACCAGACACAGACCTCATACCCTGCTATTAAAGCAGCCACAAAAATATGGGCAGAAATAAATCTGAATTCCAGAAATGTTACATCCCATTCTCCCATTTTAAAACACATTTTAAGGAAAACAGCTAAGTGAATGCTCTGTACCAGTTAAACAATCTTCAGCCTAGGACACAACTCACTGCAGCTAGCTGGTATGGAAGGGATTTATCTTGGGATGGTTTCAACAAGTGTTGGAAATAAAAGCAGAAAAATAATAAATTACCATTTATCAGTACCTGTAAGCAGAAGAAGCCTTCTGCATTAATTACTGCTTCCGCCTGATTAGTGAGCGCAGATAACACAGAAAAAAACAAACAACCAAACAAAACAAAAAAAAAAAAAAAACAAAAAAAAAACAAAAACCCACCACCAACAACAACAACAAAAAAAACCCAAACCCAAACAAACCAGCTTTGCTATGGTTCAAGCTCTCACTGAGCAGCTGGATGGCATCCAGCCCCTGAGTGTGTGTCTTCATCAGCCGGGCAGGGCTGTCCTGCCAGCTTGGAAAGGATAAGGATGCTGTAAGCACCAGGCAGGTACAGGTGTCACTGAGGTGGGGAGGTTGCCATACTCACCCCTCACAGTGGGTGCAGTCAGTCCCAAGGTCTGTTCATGCATCAGTGAATTGAGGAAGAAAATTAACTTTAAACCAGCAGCAAGGTTGTTTCCTACACTCAAATCTCTCAGGAGAAAACTGTAAACAAAGCAAAACTGAGGAAGAATGTGGTATTAGATAAAATACCTTAATATCATTCCTATTAGAAGTTTAAATTTGCATGTGTTAATGTATATACACTTCTGCTTGCACTCACCACCCTCAGTGAACTTCAGTTTAATAAAACTGTAGTTGTTATAAATGCAAGCGTTTGTATGTCATACAGTGACACCTCTGAAGAGCTGGAGGGACTGAGCCAGGATGATAATGAAAATGCAAATCAAAGGAACTACAATGCCCATGATAAAAAGTGAGGGCAGAGGAGGAAGTGCCAACCTCCTGTTTTGCCACTGAGGTTTCTGTGGTTAATTTATAGGCTATCACAGAATGGAAGAAACAGGTTGAAAAGAGCTGACTTGAGAGCAAGCACTGAAAGGAAACAACAAAAAACCCCAAATCTTTGTGGGGGGTGAGGACTACTGAGGTGGATTTTCTTTTTCAGCCACTCATTTCTCATCCCTCATTTTAAATAATTTCTTCCCCACAATTTTCTTTTTTTACAGCTTCTGCATTCCTTTGTTTTGTGTCATTAATTCTCTTGCAAAGAAAATGGTTTTTTTCCCTTATTTCAAATTACTTTTTCCTGTAGCAGACATCCTTTTACATTTCCTTTCTTCTAACAGGAGGTGTAATTTCTAGACTCTTCCCCTTTGTGTGGGGAAGGTATGTACTTCAGGCTTCTTTTGGCCCCTTGCCAGCCTTCAGTCCCTTTTTCTTCATCATGAACTGTTGATACTCTGCTCCTGTCCCTTGCTGTTACAGCCTCTCACCTTTATTCCCTTGCTGTTCAAGGGACCTTCAGAACAGGATTTAGGAATACATTTTATCTGTTCAAGGCCTATAAATGCTGACTTTGATGTTGCAGATGTGGTGGATTAAGAGCATAGTTTAATTCACCAATATTTTGAACCAGTTCTTAATACTGACAAAATGAACCAATGTTAATTAACCACTAGCATTTACTGACATGTGCCCTCACTTAATAATGTTCAATTTAATCTGTGTATGTATATATATATGTGTGTGTGTGTGTGTGTGTGTGTGTGTGTGTGTGTGTGTATCTCTGCAGAATTAATTAGCTTATGAAAATACACCTTTGGGCTGGTCTGTTCTTTCACTGAGCCAGTCAGCTCATGAGTTTGTGAATCTGAATTCATGCCTTTCCTCTATTCAGAGTAACTCTGTTTCCTTGCAAATTTTGATATAAATTGTTGACTTACAACAGAAACTACTATATTATGCTTGAGCCAAATAACCTAAAATGTTTTTATAAGATATGAATTGTGCAGTTTTTGACAATAAGGGGAGTGTTTGCATTTATGCAAGCAACTTTTGGATGTGGGTTGGATTTTCATGTAGCTGAAGGCTGAATCTGGCCCTTGAAGTTTAGAGAATCTCAAACTGATAGACACTAAATATCTATGTATTTGGGCATTGCATACACTTCTGGGGGATGAGCTTGACAGGGGAAAACATGCATCAGAAATTAAGTGAGGTTATGGTAATTCAGGAAGTGATAGTATTTTTCATCCTTGTAGAAGAACACACTCTTGAATAAAATGCATAGAAGTGTTTTTCATTTTTTATCTCTTTCTCCAAAATGTCCTTCTAAATTCAGGCTGAATTAATTCCAGATTCTGCAACTGTGGACAAAATTTTAATTTCTCCTAGGACTAAAGTGGCCTTCAATATCTCTAAAGCAAGCTTTTTGTTAGCACACAGAGGAGTTTCTCTCACTGTTTAACCCCAGTATAAGGGCATTGTCTGATATGTCTGAGCATGTCTGCTCTCTCAGAGATAACTGCACAGCTAGAAAGCTGAAGCCAGTACTTTGGAAGTGCCATTCCTTCATGCTGTCTCAATATTTAGGTATGAAATGTCTGTGGTTGCCTTTTGGAGCAATGTGTCTGCTGCTGTCCTGCTGCTCTCACCAACATTTTGGCTTTGTGAATGGACAGCTAATTGGCAGCCCAGGAAAAAAATGTGAGCTTTACTCCTGTGGCTTTTATTTTGCTTTCAAGAGGTTGAAAACATTTAGACTGATCTGTTCTGTTGATGGTTTCTTTTTGATCTGTTGGCCTTGAAATCCTGTCTGTCCTCTCCATCATGTTAAAAGAGCAAAGGTAACAACCAAAATAAATATTTTCCTGCCTTCTCTTTCAGATAAAATTGAAGATGAATTAGAAATGACGACAGTGTGCCATAGACCCGAGGGACTGGAACAGCTTGAAGCACAAACCAATTTCACTAAAAGAGAACTTCAAGTTCTTTACAGAGGATTTAAAAATGTAAGAACGATATTGCACTGAACAGTCTAATATCTATGTCCTCATCAGCCTCGACTGCTCAGCTTGATTTTGTATTATTCCCCTGCAAAGCATTACTAGTTTTGTATAAGATCTCCCTTACCACAGCAAAATGAGCACAATCTGCCTCTCCATCTAATATTTATGACACTGCAATCTGCCTAAAACTGGGTTTGGATGAATATTCAGCACATAATGGTCTCATTAAATTTGTTCCTCAAATGTCAGTAAGCACACTTCCATTTCCTCAGCTGTGCCAATACTTGAAGATAACCTGAAAATATTTTTATGCCTACTTCTTTAAGGCTTGTTGTCATCTCCTCATGTTCAAATATAAGCGGTACTGTTCACTTGTAATTAGGTGCCCAGGATGGAGATTTCATCCCTTCTCTAGCTGCAGAAATCTTGCTCTTGTAGTAGAGCACTTTAGGACTTCAGGGTCCTGTATAAGTAGGGAATAAGGCTGGAGTGGCAGGAGCCAAAGCGAAATCAAAACTTGAATGTCTGTTAAGGCTAAGGAGACCAGAGAGAGGCTGCAGATTTCTGGGCAAGCAGGCAGCAGTGCCAGCTGGCATGACTGAGTGTGAAGAGCAGCTCTGTGCCCGGCCTTGTGAGCCACCATTCCAGCCAGGCTCCCTGGGAGCCCAGAGTCTGCAGCTCCTCAGCCTCAGCCTGGCTCTGTTTCTGCCTCTCAGGAGATCCTCACAATCAGGAGAAATTGATGGGAAATGTTGAGGCTTCATGGAGCAGATGCTTTATGGACCTTGAAGAATGAGTACTCATTACATGTTTGCCTGAGGGTCAGGATTTAGTCACCCAGGTGGTTTGTGCCAGCTGATGTTTTAATGGTGATTAACAGATCAGAATCAAACTGGCTCAATAAACATAGGATGTTTTTTATATTCTGTTGCAGGACAGCTCCAGCATTTAGAAGCCGTTACAGCAGAATGCTGACATTTCTCAGTCAAGTTTATTGTGTAAAAACTTGTCAAAAGAAAGCTGAGCTACCTTAAATACAGGCAGTTCTGAAGAACCTGCGGGACTTTGAGAAAAGCCCTTCTTTTTGATAGATTTTTGAAATTTGATCAGATTACATTTCCAGTGTATATTTGACTTTTCCAAGGAGTCTGGTGGTTTCACCCTTTATTTCACTGCTCACCTAAGTGAGCCAAAGCACAGCTCAGCTTTCTGTATTTTTGTTGGTGTGTGTGTGGCATATTTCTGCAGCCTTTGATGGCACAGGAGGTAATTTCATATATGAAGTTGCCTAACTGAACATTGATATCTCTTTATGTTTTTGCCAGCTAGCAGAAAATCACAAAAAGAGACAAAACTTGGCAGGTTAACACCCTGATACGACATGACTGCCTACAGAGCGAGATTAAACCCAGTTTTGCTAAGATCTCTACAGTGCCTTCTGTATCACTGTCGGGTGGGAATCCTGTGTGGGAGAGCTCTACTTTGTGCTGGGGGCATTTGCAGCTACAGAGGCAAACCAGTGAGGCAGAGCTGGAGCACTCAGCACGCAGGACCTTCTGCCTTTCCCAATTCTGCTCCACTTTGCACTACAGAGTCATTACTTCCCAAGGCAATAGTGGCAGACAAGGGCATTTAACTTGTGACCTAAACCTAGGACATTACTGAAAGTCTTGATATTAATTGGCAGTGATGGCAATTAATTGGCAGTGATGGATATTAAGACATATCCAGATATAAACCAAGACTGTTTTTATCCAGCTGATCTGCACACAATATACACAAAGTTTCATGTGTAAGGTTTAAATTGAAATGAAAGTGCAACTTTAACACTGGTAGCTTGAAAATCCTGGTTCCAATAGGATGAGTAATTATGTACAGGAGGCAAACTGGCTCATCTGTTACCGTATTTGCTATTGTACCAAACAGTCTGTTCCTTGGGATGATGTTACAGTGCCATCTGGAGATTCAAAATCCCTGTGGGAATACAGTAATTTTCCTCCCTGGCTTGTACTTACTGTTTGTTCTCAGTGGTTATTGCACAGGTCCTGTTTAATCACAAGGCAACACCTGGATAATCACAGAGCCATTTGCAGGAGCTGGTGTAGGGAACAGAGGCATGGAGGTCCTGGCTGCAGAGGATTTGGTGTGCAGGAGCGGGGATGGTGTTCCACCAAAGGCAGCTCAGCACAACCTGGGCTGGCCTCTGGACTGGTCCTTGTCTGACCAGGGTTCTAATTCTCAGTACCTTTAAACCTGTTCTTTCTTTGTCTCTGAATTCTGTTCACCCCACCTCCCCCCCCCCCCCTGTCCCCCCCCCCCCCCCCCCCCCGCGATGTCCCCTAAATCATCCCAGTCATTACCCAGGGTGCTAATCTGGCCTGGTGTTTTTGGCCCAGAGTGATAGAGGCTGCCACTAAATTCATTTCCAGAGAAGCCAAGCATGCTAACCAGGCCTGTATTATTCCTGTGTGGCCAAATGTCCCCTCTCTTTGCCTTTAGCTTGCCTTTCCAGTTGTGAGAGTGTACCACCCTCCAGCATCTCTTGGTTCCAGGACCAACAGTTCACATTTATCTAGCAGTTGCCTGTGCCCACTTTATGTGAATGGTCTCCTTTCCATCTCTCTGTTAGCTCTGGTAAGACTGGAGCCCGACTAACATGAGGTGTTTGGTCCCGTCTCTTTGGATGGGATTCTAAACAAGCAAAGTGACAGGCAAACCCATCAGAACCTCTGGTGGGTCTTGCTTTGGTACAACTTAACAAAAGAAAATGTGATACTTTCTGTCTACAAAACCACCAGAACTGTTTGAGCTAAACAGCAATATTGGCACAGGAACAGAAGGGCCATGAATAGGCATAGGCTGAATTAGAAGAAAATTTCTGCCCCCACAGAGGTTTGGTGGCCAGTTATGGAATTACAGTGAGGAGAGCAAGGAAATATTTTTATTATTAAAATTGATAAATTGATGTCTAATGAAGTGACCAACAATACGGAGATTTGAGCTCGGTAATTCAGGATCTTCCACTTAGGCCATGTTTCATGGCTTGCATTCTTTGGAATCGAGTACATGGATTTAAAAGAACTGGGGGTTTTGTAGGTTTTTTTGCTCAGTTTGGGGAGGTTTGTGCTGTTAGGGGAAATGCTTGTTAGCTGCAAGAGATAATTTCTTAATATTGAATCAGAAAACAGACAACCCAAATGACTGAGGGGCTGCTGAAGGCATCCTTACCTTGCTTTAGTGTGGGTACTTTAGCAAATCTGTAACAAAGGGTAGTATGAGATGTAATTTTAACAAAGCAGGATTATGGAGGTTAAAGTGAGCAGTACAAGCAAGGGAGAAATGTTCTGACCCTTAAATAATCCCCAAAACATCTCCAAAGGGGGAGAACATAGAGCAACAAACTACATGGAATGTGTGAGTGCTTAGAGATGCAAATCTGGATTGTGCGTTTAGCTGTGGTTGGCTAATTTGCTACCTCTAATTTACAAAACATGACCCCTGGGTACTCATCCTCATATTCTGGCCAGCTGAACTGAGGAGGGTCTGAAAGGCAGGGCATGCTCAGCTCCCCTGTGGTCCCTGCATCTCTGCTTTGCACATCTCTGAAAGCAATCAGTGAAGTGTATTTCTGATTCCAGAAGAGGAAAAATGCAACTGCTGTTTTATTTTCCTTTTGGTTTTTTGGGTTGGTGTTTCTGGTTTTTATGTGGATTCAGCTCCTTTGTGGCATAGTGATTTAAAAGAAGTGGGCAAGTTCAGATGCACAGCTTGTTCTGCCAGAGCTTGATAGTCAGCCCTGGGAAAATGAGGGTTTTTTTCCTGTGCTTGATGACAACACAAAAAAAAAAAGTCCACTGTTTGGCATTTAAAAAGAATTATTGGGTTAAGGAAATGAGAAGTGTAAACCTAAAACCCTGCTATCAAAGGAAAGCCTTATGAATACTACTGTGAAGGACTGTGTTCTTCTTACTGACAAGGACTTTTTCTTGAATGAGTGAATCTTTATTAACTTCAGTGGAATTTAAATTGACACTAAGCTCACCTGCTCTGCTTCACAAGAGAGATTTCTTTCAAGTCAGCAGAATTAAGTAGTACTATAGCACTAATGAGGCCTCTGGAGCATTATTTGGCTCTTATAAAAAAAAAAATTGTGATCAATTAACTGCAAATAAATTGCTAGTAGCATATGTGTCTGAAAGCAATCCAGTTATAGAGAGCTAAATGGGCTGATCAATGTCAGCACTGCCTCTCCCCAGAACTCCTAGAGCTGTGATGCAAACTTTTATTTGGCTTCCAGATGGAGCATCAGAAGCAATAAGGATCATGTGGAAATTCAGAAAATTAAGCAACCCCAATGGTCCAACTGCCAGGGTAGCCCTTGCCCCTGTGAGAGAGCACAGGCAGCAGCAGCAGCAGCAGCCATGTGCACATCTCTGGTAATAAACAGAGGGAAGGGACCTCAGGGACTCTGCAGTTGAGGGAAACATAGAGAAAAGAATGATCAGTCCCTCATCTACAAACCATCTTTCAGCAGGCGAAGTTGTGGTTCTTAGAGAATATAACGGTTGTCTTATCACAGGAGAGAAGGAAATAAATCTTGATGTAGCACTGTGCTGGAAAGGATGGGCCAGTTGTGCCAGACTTGGTTTTAAAAAGAATGACAATTTGGTGAAATACTCTGCAAAGACCCTGTGCAATCTTGTAGCAACAGCACTTCAGTGACCAAGGAGAACACTGCTGCCCAAAAATGGCCGTGGATACAGTTCTAGGTCTGATCAATTGTTAAAAGATACCATAAATAAATATCAGATTATTTCTTTAATGCATGTTAGCTTACAAGCTTCAGAAAACATGAATGTTTAGGAAATATTTGGGAGAATCTCTTATGGTAGCTGTTAGCTTCTATTTAATTATCTGCCTTTGATGATTTCTGCTTTAGAGATGAAAAAGTAACAACTTTTCTTGTGATAAGAAAACCAGACAACACATGTTTTAAGAGGAGCTTTGGATCAGTTTGAGAATGCTCATCAAACTAGAAACTCTGTAACCTCCAAAATCATGAATGGCACATAGAAAAGTCATCAGATTGACTGTTTGCTGGCTCTGTTTAAACAGCAGTTCAGGACTATCAGGCAAGGTAATAGGAGTCAGGTCCAAGGATGGAAAGCTGGTGGTTCCTTGTGCAAAGGGTTGTATTCTATGAAGTTCCCGGCTGAAGCACCTGTGTTAAAGTGAGGCAGGGATCACAGCATGACACAGAGAGGAATGCATGGAGTGAGTATAATGCCAGGAAGAGAGGAACTTTCTTGATTCCAAGTCTGCCATTCAGCTCAGTATAAGCACCCAGCCAGGCTATACGTTCCAGTTCTGTGAGTTTTGTGAGAGGGAGCTAGCCTGCTCAGATAATCCATCTCCAGCACCTCCTAGCAGCAGGGACAGTGCTCTTGCTCCCTCCTCCCTTCCTGATGGGAGCTTGGGGAATTAAATGGCTGAGTGGGGTCAGTGCTGCAGCAGGACACAGCCCCCAGGGTCTCTATTGATCAGTGGCTCAGAGTGTGGGAGGAAGCTGACTTTTCTGTCTCTGTAATTCTGTGCTCTGTGAAAAAGACTGAGTGCTGTGGTTATTTTATTGGTTTGCTCTGGTTTAATTTTCAAAATTGGTTGATAGGCAAATTTGAGGAACAGTGCCATCAACTGGGAAGTATTTTTTCTGACTGAAAATATAACATGGTTAGGTAGCAGTGCCCAAGGCTCTGTAATGTATGTTATAGCAGCACTGAGCTGGTGGGGGTGTGTTTATTATTGAGGTTTGTTTGGAAGGACTTAGTGTGCTATGGACTGTTCACCTGGCTACAGTCTTCTGCTGAGGATTAAAAAACAGCAATGAAACTGCTGAAAACCCAGTTATAAATGTTAATAATGGTGAACCAGCTTTGTGAGATGCTTAGGATGAAACTGCAGACTGAATTACTTTCATTTCTCCAGCTGCACATTGTGTGCATGCAGAGTACTCTGAGAATAGGCTGGTGATTTGTTTCATTGCTTTCTTTGGGCTTGTAGAGTTTTGCAAATGAACCTTTACAAACCCGTGCTTTTCTTGATTCTCTTTCTCTTTTCTTCCTTTTGTTTTCTAACAGGAATGTCCTAGTGGGGTTGTTAATGAAGAAACATTCAAACAGATCTATGCACAGTTTTTTCCTCATGGAGGTAAGTGGAGTGCTTTGTGTCTGTCAGGGCTCTCGAAACTCTAACATTGCCTTCCGCCAGCTGGCTGCAAAACTGCTGCAGGCCATCCGTGCAAGAAATGGGAATCAAGCTGAAGCTTTGAGGGGTTTTAGACAGAAACACAAACATCAAGGTAATAAAATTTAAGGCCCTTGAACAGTTGTTTCACATATAAAAGTGAAATAACCCCCATAAAGATTGCACCTCTATGTCAGCTCCTCATTCCCCAGGTCCAAAACAGAAACTGAGGGTTGATGCTTTGTTCTGTTCAGACTTCCTGTTGGCAGAAAGTGGAATTGCTTCCTCTCCATGTGTCTGTACTTCCCTGCTGTTGAACTGCTGGGCATTTAGTGTCTAACACAGGAGGGTATCAGACTTCTTTTTGTCCTGAAAATTTATCAAAACCTCCTTAAAATTCTTAAAGCAGTTTTTAGTTGATAAATAAAGTCCTGGATACCTGAAATGATAATTTTTGGTGTTTATGGGACTAAGGTAGGGCCAAGTATTGAATGGGCATATTAGGTATTGTTGTATTAAATCTCTCAAATAATACATGTTTCTGCCTTTTAAAAACTTCATTAATCTATGTGTTCTGTGGGAATGTGTGTTCTCAGATTGAAATAAATTAGTCATTTAAGTGTCATTTTAGCAAAAGATTAAGTATTTGAGGCTTTCCAAAATATCCCACTCTGTAGTAGCTGCAGAACACTCTCTTTGGGGAAAGATGACTGACTTTTCTGCAAGGGTGTATGTGTGCATGTGCATTTACGTAAAGAAAGTCATTAGCAAGTGTTTTTTCTACTAAATATCAAAATAAAACACATTATACTTATGTTTTACAACTCATGGGACCTCAAAGACATACACCTATAAATGTTTGCATTAAATTTCCTGCAAACTTGATGATTTCCTGTTGTGATTTTCTAAATCCAGCCGTTTAAGATTCAAAAGGACAAAAATACACCTCTAGGTGAGATTGCTCTCCAGCAGCCATGGGTCAAACTCAAGTTACTGGAGCAAGATCCTTTTGAAGCTGGGCATTCCCTGGGGGGTCTCTGCTGTTTCTCCCACAAAACAAAAAGGTAGAGAAAGGATGCTGCATATTGCAGTCACTCTTTGATGTTTTTGCTGTGTTTCCCACCATTTGAATCAGACACTCATGGTCGGTGGGGATTCTCTGCTCATTCTTTCAGGCAATGCTCCAAAATCCACTGTAATAAAAGCTTCTGCATTTCAAGGCTGTTTTAAGGGATGGCACCAGGATTTTGCAAGTCCATGATAACATTTACTGGTTCACAGAATACCTGGCAATGCATCAGGGTTGAGTTGTATACAGAAGGAAAATAAGTTCATGACTTGTTTAGAGCCATCAGTGTATGATGAGTCCCTGCCCTTTGTGCTTTTCAGATGCCAGCATGTATGCACATTACCTCTTCAATGCCTTCGACACTGCACAGAATGGCTCCGTGAAGTTTGAGGTGATTGCTTTGCATCTTCCTTCCATGCCACTTTCTCAATTTTGTGTTTTTAACCTTTTCTGTCTAGTCTTCATTGCAAAGCAGTAGGACTTGTTGGATTAAAGATTAGAGGTTTCAGTATAAAGTCAGTCAATGTTTTCAAATCTGGTTCACTTTTGTTTATGCAGATGCAGTTCCATGTCAGTAAGGAAAGATCTAGATTGTTCTAGTCAGGATCAGAGGGGGAAAGTGCAGAGGTTTATTCAGCAGAGAGGAGTGGCTGAGGACAGTCCCGTGTTAAAAGAGATGAGGGACATAGAGAACTTGCATCTTGTACCTTCTGCAGTCATCATGCATTGCATGATGTGTTGAACAAGGATCTCAGATACTTGAAAACTAAATGCATGCTTTAACTAAAAGGCCTGTTGCAGTGGCTACAAATAACCTCTCTCCATGCTCAGCCCATAGCTGTAGGAGTGCAGCAAAGGGATAGACTTCTGGAGAATGAACTTCATAGTTTTGAAGACTATAAAACTCCTATAAAACTACAAATCATAGGCAGTCTTGCCTTTGCTATCAAATGTCCAAAACCTCTGGTAATTTCCAGGTATGACTGGGAAATGTGTCCATTCATGAAATGTAAAATGGGGATGTTTCCATATGTATCTGTGTGCCTCTGTGGCAAGGGCTGCAGTGGGAGGTTTGCATGGGGCAGCTCCTCAGTAGTTGAAGGTGTTCAGAAACCTAAACAGACTGGGAACAGGAAAATGCTGTTAAGATAACAAATAAACAAACAAACAAAAACAAACCTAGAAAGTGCTGAACTTTCATTCCTGGCAGATCTGTCTCTTAACTGGTTGTCAAACATGAGACTTTTGTCCCCTTTCTTATTGACAAATTCAAATCCCTCAGAGGCTTGGCAAAAAGGAGCAGAGGTTTTCTAAGCAGTGCTGCACTGCCCCATGCAGAGCTCACAGAGGTGACTAAAGCTATTAAATGAGTTATCAGGAGCTGTATAGCTCTGTTAGCCTGAAGCTCTGCCTGTGCTAAAAATCTCCTGTAGCTATACTACTCTCAGTGCCTGAGCCACAGTGCAGTATAATTAATAAATCACAGTTATCAAAAGCAGTAACTTTACTGTAAGTAAAGAGAACCAATTAAAATCATGTGTCCCACACTGAGTAATTAGTGGTGGGAATCACATCTGGTCAAGTCTGGCAGATTTTACCAGCTCTCTGTGTCAGAGGATTTTATCTCTCAGATAGGATTCTCTCCCTTCTTTGCCAGCACCTCGGTCAGAAGGTAAGAAAGCATCAGCTTCTACTTCCACAGGCACAATCCAGCTGTGTTTAATCAGATGGTGGCAATCTCAGAGACTGGTACTTGCAGCAGGAAGGAGAAAAGCTACTGTAGCATCTGGCAGTGCTCTTAAAGACCAGATATCTCAGTGAATGCATCAACCATTGAGTTGAGTCAGAGAGGACACATTTTTGGAAAAGGGAGCCAAAACAGGTTGATAAGCATATGCTCCATCCTAAAAAAAATATATCTTTTGACTGGCATTGTATAAAGAGGGTGACTTAGAAAAGGATATTATGAGAATTTACACTTCTCTCTCTGCCCCAAACCAGGATTTTGTGATGGCACTGTCCATTTTGCTACGGGGAACTGTTCACGAAAAGCTGAGATGGACATTTAATCTGTATGACATAAATAAGGATGGCTGTATAAACAAGGAGGTAGGGCTATTTCCTGACAAATGTGGTTGGTTTTGGAAGGGAGAGTTGATTGGGTTTTGTGCAGAACACAATTAATTATACATGCAGCTAATTGAACATAAATCAGAGTGGACTCATGCATTTGTCCGTGTGTAAGCAAAGTGCACAGTGGTCTTATTGCATGATTTTCTAGACATATTTTCCTATATCATGGTACCTTTAATGAATTGTGTTATCTAGGAGTAAAATGCTGGTTACAGCTCTGAGCCACATAGGCTTGTGAAGGGGAGGGTGATAGTGGCAGTACTTTGTGACTGGGGCTCGAAGGCTTGCTTTCTGTACAGGGAGATACTGTGGGGGTCATCCGAAGCAGCACGACTACCAAATCCTTCATTGTTATCTGTTTTTATCTGGTATTACTTGTTCCTGATCTGTTTTTATCTGGTATTGCTTGTTCCTGTTATGGGAAGCCTTGGTTTTGAGCATGGTGACCTTGAATGTATGTCAAATACAACTTGGTCCACTCAAACCCATTGGGCATCCCTGGAGGGTTTGCAGTTACTGCCACTGGTCATGGAGCTGTGGGGCAATTTGTGCAAGGTATGGGGAGGGACCAGATTCCCAGTTCCAGCTGTGAGGGTCCCTGGCCCTGGAGGAGACCCTTTGAACAGGGTTGGTGCCACAGTACAGGGCTGAGCACAGCCCTTGCTGCCAGGACCCGCTGTGTCAGAGCCAGGCCTGGAGAGAGGAGGGAGCACTGGGAGCATGTGGCATTGCGGGGGCAAAGGGAAGCAATTCTTTCTATAAGATGTTTGTGTGTCTGGTACATCTGTCTCCATGCACATGCACGAGCATTCCAGCTGCTGGTTTGTCATAGGAGAAGGAGGGTGAAGAATAGGGAAGTACAAGACAGAAATGGGCCCTCATTTATCTTAATTTCCTTTTTGTGTTTGTGTTGGCATGCTGCCATGGCAGGAAATGATGGATATCGTAAAAGCAATTTATGATATGATGGGAAAATACACGTATCCAGTGCTCAAGGAAGATGCACCAAGGCAGCATGTAGAAGTATTTTTCCAGGTACCTGGGTTTTTATTGGTTTTTCTTAACACTTGAGCTAGGCACTGATAGACAGACTTTCCTGTAAAGTTGAGTCTATACTTCGCTATATATTTCAAAATAAACCCTAGCAGCCACTCAGCCTAGCACTGCAATGCCTGCTGATTTCTTGGCTCCAAAGGTATCTCCCATGTCTCTTAGCCTGACCCTCTGCCTTGGGATGTGCCATGTCCAGTAAGTCTGAAACCTCTGCATGTGTTGCAGGCCTTCTGTGCTGCTTCTCTCAGTTGCCCTAAGGACTGACAGGAATGTGGGTGTGGGTCGGTCAGCCAGTGAATAAATAAACAGTGGAATAAGGACAGAGGTTCTGGTGTGTGTCAAGAAAACAGTTAGAGATAACCTCAAAACTGCTCCAAATCCCAGAGGAAACAAGTCCTTAGCAGTTAGCCAATCCAGCATTGACCGCTGGCCACTTAGTCTGTGGGCTAAGCTTAAGTGCCCAGCTTTGTTCAGGTGGCATCAACTAAGGTACTATACTGTGACAATACTGTAACCAATATAAACTAATTTTTACATTGTTTTATTTTGCAGAAGATGGATAAAAACAAAGATGGAGTTGTAACTCTAGATGAGTTTATTGAATCGTGTCAGGAGGTAAGGACTAAGTTATAACTGCAAGGAAAGCTCTATCTCATGTCACATCATTTGCTTCCCTTTGGATAAACTCTATTTGAAACAAGATGCTGCCCAGGATCATGGGTTGTCTTTGCTCTGTGGGGAAAAAAAAAAAAAGCAAGCAAACAAACAAAAAAACCCAAAACCAACCAAACCAAAACAGCTTGAAGACTGAGTTTGTGATGCCCTGTGAAGCCTGTGACTTAATAACGAGGTAGGGTGAGGCAGAATATGGGAGATGATGCCTTCATTTAAAGTGATTTTACTTCCTGAGTGGACTGCAGTGCCTGATTCACAGACAAGCAGAGAACTGTAGAGAAAGCTCTTAACTGTCTAAAGTTGTTTTGGGGTTTTGTTGGTTTGTTTTTGGGGTTTTTTTTCTTAATTTTGAGAGTCTGCTGCTGTCTTTGTGTGCTGCCCCATATGTCATTATCACATTGCTGGAACTGCTCAGAGCCAAAGGTGTCTCAAATTCTTGCAATTACAGTATTGAGTTATAAAACCAGTTGATGTTTTCATGGTCAAACATTAAAAGCAAATGCTGTCATCAGAGCAATGATTTTAATTTTTCCTCTGTTTTGAAAGCAAGACCCCTCTTGCAAATTACATGTATGAGGCTGGCTGTGTTAAGATTTGTTGGTACTTTTAGCACTGGCACAAAGAAGCATCTTCATGAACATGCAATTGGCCTGATGTTTGTTGTCTTAAACCTTGATTGTGTGACTATTTGCTCGGAGATATCTCTAATATATGACCACTACAATAATAGTGTAAAAGGTAACCTCCACCATTTGGCGTGTTTGTATTGGTGCACTGAATTACATATTGGCCCTTCTGTGCATTTTAGATTGCCTGGAAAATTCTTTCAGGTTCTGCAGCTAGACAGCTCTTCTGTCCTTGAGCAAGGGGAAGGTGCTCACTTTGGAGGGCTGGGCTGGCTTCTGTTGCTTTGGTGTCAAATCTGGCTCTGGCCACGTCCAAGTCTTAGTCAGGGACTTCAGGCAGCCAAATCCTTGTTTAGCAGATGCATAATAGAAGGCTAATGTTTTTCAGTTACTTCATTCTTGGTCCCTCCTGATTGTTTGGCTTGGTTTTGGCACCATCTTTATTTAATCAATTGTGTTGTGTATTATTCTGCATGTTTGTAACTTGCCTGTAGGCGTGTGTATGATCAGTCGTCTCAGTATTGAAGCAGCTTTACTTTACCCATAACCATTGCAGTTTTAATTCTCTGTCCCTGTTTGGGTTTGGTTCCTTCTGCTGCCATCCTGACATTGGGAGCTGGGCAGGCTGATGCAGTGTCAGCTGCTGTTTCCTGGCAGGCAGGAGCAAGCTCTGCAACACCAAGATTTATTATTTTTATCTTTATGAAAAACAAACCAAAGTGCACAGCAGTGCTGACCTGTGCCATTGCAGCAGCTCTGGATTGTGGACAGTGAACCCCGGGCATGACCCAGGAGAGGTTGATTGGCTTCCCACTGCTACTGAGTGAGCAGTGACAGGGATGATGCAGCCTCATAAAATGACTGAGGAATGCAGTGGAATAGGTCTCTTAAGCTGCTCAATGTGGAAAATTGTTTTCATGTTACAGGCAAACAGCTGCTCTGAACTGAATTCCTGGGGGAAAAACCATCATTATGTTTTTGAATACTAATCTGGTTCTTATCTCAAAGTAAAATTCCAATACTTCAGGAGAAGTAATCCAGGATTTCCCTTGTGTCTGTCTGTAACTTTCTCATTTGGCTCTAGGAAACTCGGAGAGGTTGAGGTTGCACAAACTGCATGTGTTTTGGGTTTGAACTGGAATTTTTGGCAGGAAGCACTCCCTCAAGGCAGTTCAAAACCTGCCATTCCATTTGGACTTGTGGAGCACATTAGCCTAGAGCACATTTGCACACCCGGGGTCAGTGAGGGGTTCTGAGGGTTGAGCACAGGCACCAACCTGGTGCCCTGCCCAGCACAGCTGTGCTGGACATCAGGCTCAGGAGAAGACCGTGTGCTCGGTGTGCCTCAAACCAACCCAGGGCCAAAGCACAAGCCAGCTGCTGTGCTGAATCAGACCTGGGCACTGAGCCCCAGCTCACAGAGTGGGAAAACATTCCCAGAGCAAGGCTGCTGTCTGCCAGAGCAGCTGCAGAGCTCCCTGGTGCAGAGGCAGAGTTATGAATTGTGTGTGTCCGTGCTGGTTTCATGGGAATATCTTCTTCTTGCTTTCAGGATGACAATATCATGCGATCCTTACAGCTCTTTGAGAATGTCATGTAACCAGATGAGCACCGGAGGAGTCTGATACTTCTGTGTAACAAAGATCTTCTTTCTAGGTGAAAGATTTTACAATTGAGCCATGTCCAGTGTGTGAGGATTTTGTATGACATGTCCAACCAAATGACAACTGAATGCAACTGATTCCACCTCTTTTCCCCGGAAGATGCTGGTGGACTTTTGTTTCATTTTGGAAGCATGTGAATATTTTAATAAATCCTATCAAGAGAGAACTGCTGCTCGAAGTTCCTTGAGTAATACAGAGCATTGTTTGCTATGCACAAGTCCTGCTTTTAATCTAGAAAGCTTAATTTCCTATGATAACACATGTTGATAGCTATTTAGCCATCTGTTGCAAGTGACAGCTCAGTCCATACCTCTGTTTAGCACAATGTTCTGTGGATGCCTTTGCCGTTAATCTGCTTTGACAAAACCCGAATCTGCCAGGGCAGCCTGTGAAAAAATGAATAGTCAATGTACCTGGGACATTAATCAGACAGCCCATATAGCCAGTATCCCCATTTCTGCAGAGATCCTGCTTATCCTCTCACATACACTGGTGCCACCACGCTGAGTTTAGTGGAGATCTTCCTGAACATATTAACCAGGTGATCTTCATGCCAGGGTGAGTTAGAAAGGAGCAGAACGTGTTGCACATATTAATATAAAATACAGAACAAATCTTGTTCAGGAATGGTAAGTTTCCAAGAGACCAGGCAGGTGCGTCAGGGCTGGTACAGAAAGATGAACACCTGCTCTGGTCCCGTCTGCCTGCTGAGTCCCAGGGACACTAGGTGATGCTCCACTGTGCATCTCAGCAGCACCACGGCCATGTGCTCTGGTCCTTTTGCTGTAGTTTGGCACACATTTCCTAGGTTCATCACTGGATGTTACAGTCAGGTCTTACACCCTCTTATTTAAGCTTTCTTGATTGACTTAGTGAAGAGCAAAGATGCAGCTGTGTTTCAACATACAGACCTTGGCAACCACAAAGTGCCCAGTACATTTGACTGGGAGTTCTTAAATTCTTATTAGCCTCAGAATCAGCTCCCAGGCCCCATATTTTTTTCCTACAAGGCAGTAGCAAGCCTTGTATAAGCCCCATTTCTTTGCTAATGCCAAATAGAGTATTGGTTTAGGGTTTTGGGTTTTTTTAATTAATAAAACATTAAAGTTCATGCAGTGTATTTACACCAAGGTTGGATGATTTGTCAGCTAGGGAATGTCAGAGCCTTCTGTGAAGAAGACTTTTAGGAAAGCTGACCCACCAGAGTGCCATTGCCATCTCCAGGCAGACAATGGCTGAGTAGTGAAGGGAAAGAGGGAACAGCCAACTCTTCCAGCTGCTCAAACCACGCAGATGGGACAGTCCCTGCTGTAGTGCTGCATCACTCCCATCCACTAAGCATCTATTTTTATTGTGTTAGCACAGAAGATATATTTTAAAAATTATCTAAGTGGAAGGTTTTTATAATACAGAATATACGGAATTCCTCACTTCTATAGCCCTAGTTTTATAAAAAATTCATCTATTGAATCATTCCTGACTACAGAAGTAGGTCTGATCAGTCCTAGCATAATGATAATGCCAATTCCCCAAGATGGGGCATTTTCCCCTTTTACTGTGCTCCTCCATACACTTCTGTGTAGTCTTAACTTTATTTCTTTAAGTTGTTCCCTTGTCATCAAAAGTGCTATTCAAGTGAATGCAGGAATGACATGTCTGCAGGAATGACACCTTAGTCCATCTTGTTAATTGCCTTTCATACAAATACCATTAGTGTATTCCTCCAAGAAGTGATCTAGCAGCTCCATGAGGGGCTGGGATTTGCAGGAGTGATGCCCTGCTGTGGGAATACCTTTCCTCCAGTTGTTGGGTCATTTAGGTTTTATTTAACAGGCACTTCATAAAGACATCAGTTGTAGCTGAAATAATACACAGGTTACACCATTCCTTCTTGATTTTTCTTGCAATCACTTTAGCAAATGACAGAATTTAATATATTTACGAGGTTTTCTCTTCCACCAAAACTGCTTAATCTGTTATTCTAAGCAGTTCACTTCAGCAGAGGAAGAAGTGGCCAGGACAATGGAAATTAAGCATTTGGATCGGGCTAGCACAGTGCCTTTTTCCTCTGATAGTCTTGCTTCAAGGGTGCTCATGAGACGGCACATACATACGGAAGTGTTTGGAATGTGCCCTTTTCGAAAGAAAACATTATTAGTTGCATGATGCCATAGTCCTTGAAGCTAAATTAATTTCTGGAGTTACTGTGATTAATTTGGCCTCCTCTGTGTTTCCTGGCCCTGCTGGTGGCAGTTCTGTGGGGGCTGCCTTTGTCACCAGGCTGACACTGTTTTCTCTTGAGTGTGGCTCCAGTTCAGCAGCAAACAGCTGCTGTCACTGTCAGTGCATGCTGACGTGCATTGTTGATCAGGGCACCAGTACTGACCCTGCACTTCTGCCATCTCCTTTGCTGCTCCACCGTGCCTGCTTTTCACTGCCAGGAACAATGAGGGTGCATCAGACAGAGAGGGACATACTGAGAGCCACACTGAGTCTGCCCTTAGAAGATAATGAGCTTTGATTTGGATCCCACTGGAGTCAGTCCCCTCCCACACGCCCCTGATGTTCAGCCCTGGGTTGAGCTCTGTGCTTCACCTGAAGCCCACAGTAGCTGGAGGACTTGCAAGATGTCACCCACAGTTGCATTTTCCCAAAACTCAGATTGCAGAATCTATCTGTGGCAGAGTCCTTGCCATTGCAAACCAAATTATTTCCCTGTGTTTGTCCTGATCCCACTGTTACAGCCAGAGGCTGGAATGCACCAGTGCTTAGAACACCTCTGGGTTTTCCATCAGCAGCATCTGTCCATGGCAGGTGTGCTCCAGCCAGCAGGTGAGACATCAGTGACTGTGAGAGAGCTGCTCTCTGCATGGAAATGGCTTTGGGTTTGTTTTTCATGTTTTCTGTGAATGTTACTGTACTGTAAACTTGCCAAGCCTCTTGCTCATAAACGGGGCTTGCAATATTTATGACAAACACTACTACAGATTTCTAAATAAAACACACTATGCTACTCCAGCCTCCCACCCTCCTCAGTACTCCTGCCAGTAGTCAGAAGGCAGTCAGATTCTCTGGCAGCGCTATCAACTGTGCACATTTCCTGCAAGTTATGAATGTTTAAATAATGTCTGAATCAGGACTCTGACTGTTTCACTAGTTACAAACATTAGTTTGCATCTTCATGCCAGCATTTTATAAAGAAAGCCTTTCTAACATGCATTTTAGGTAACAATTTGTTGACAAATAGGAATGTGATAAATGATAATGCAAAAAAAGAAAAAAAAAAAAAAAGGAAAAAAAAAAGTACCATGCCTGTTCTGTGGCTGTTTGTTTTCCCGTTCCTCTGAATGCAATCCAATATTATGAGTACCATAAGCCAAGCTAAAAGCTTGAGACACAAATACCTTGAGGTTCAGGCATCGTGGGCCGTGGCATTTCCTGACTGCAATATGTGTTGAGAACAATCACCCTTGTGTCTGTGGGTCGCCTCTGGTGAGATAGTAGCAGCAGTGTGTCAAAATTTTCTTCTTCTTTATGAAAGTCCCATGAAAGACCTAAGGAAATGTGCAAATAATGTAAATTGTGATAAGTAAAGCCATGTTAGTGGATCAGCCATGTATAGCTTCACTGTTGCAAATGCTCTTCTCCGATGGCAATTTGTATTCAATTTTGTTGAATGGTTTTAAAAATGTTGGTTTTAATAATAAAAAGGAATACCTGTAGGAGGGCATCCTTTCTTAAACCCAATATGTATTTTTTCTCAAGGGACACTGTCAGGTTAAAAATTTGCAATGACACTTTTAAAAGTGGGACTGAAACATATCTGGGGGCGGGGAGGCTGTGAAACCGTAGTATGCTGTGAGCTAACAATGCCAATGATTTATTTGCATGACTGATTCAGAGGTGCTCTTACATTTGATGTAGTGGCATACACTGAACTTGTGTACAGTTCAAAAATATTCTTCTGCCTGCACCACTGATAGTAACTCAGGGTAGTGAAAACTGAAGGCTTACAGGCATGACTTTTCTCTTCCACAGTTCTACTTAAGTATAAGCAGGAAAACAGACAATCGTGTTAAAAAAAATGCAAACACTATTTTATGGTATAGATAAGAAAAATAACCTAAAACATCAGTGTCCCTTCAGCTTTGGTTTATTGTAAGCATCCATTCTGACACACTGAGGAATGCAGAAGTGATTTTGCCAGACTATATGTATATGTGTACATATTATATATATATATATATATATATATATATATATATAAATATATATATATATATAAATAAATATATAAATATATATATGTTTGCTAAGCTCCATTGTGTAGGGTATTATCTGTCTACCAGTACATCCCAGGAAAAAGAACATTCATCCATGCAGAAATACGGAAATAAAGGTGTCTGTGTGAAACGTGGTCTTGGTGTCACTGCAGTGCCTGCCCAGCACTCATTCCCGCAGGGACCTCCTGTTCCCAGAGAGAGCAGGGCCCTCTGGACAATGCCAGACTGGAATTCTTGCTCCCTCTGCAAGAGGAAGATGTGCTAACTGCCTGTCCAACACCTCTCTATCCCTGGGATGTGTCCCAGCTGCTGTCAGGCAAAGCAGGCTTGGGCTCAAAGCACGTGCGTAGGCTTTTTGTTCACTTTTTGGCTGAGATTTGTTCAAATGTCTGGTGATGCCTGAGTTACTGCTGTGATATACTGGACAACTCTGGTTTTATTCTGAGCCCATCACTATTGCAGTCTGAGCATCTTGTCCTGCTGCTTCAGGGGTCCAGGGCATTGCACCTGATGGATGGAGGGACAGTGGGGAGGGAGCAACTCTGCACTGGCCCAGGGGCTATCTCTCACTCTGGAGTACAGTGGGGGAGCCTCAGGCATGTGCTACAACTCAGCACATGCAAAGTTACTTTGGAATCTAATAATAGCCTTTTATTTTTTACTGAGATGTTAATCCTATAACCTTTGCTTAACCACACAGGTCCAGCAAACTGGAAAAGGAGGAGGCCCAAACATATTAGCACATGAAGTCCTTTCATCGCATCAGATCTGCACTGTGTGGGATCAGGCATGGGAGCTGCAGGAGCAGAAATTTTGTGTGATGGAGAGTTGGTGACAGACCCACCCCTGCTGCTTGGCCAGGAGAGGCTGGTTCTCTATGAACAAGACCCCTGTCCCCATCACCCTCCAGGAGGTCGGAAGTAATGAACTGACAATCTCCAGAGCCTCAGTGGATGTGGTTATTTACAGCCTGTTCTGTTAAAACTTCCCTTGTTGTCTTGCAGAGGAAAAGTCTCTCTTTCTCCATCTGTTCTTATAGAGACTGGGAATTGCTGTGGGGCTCTGGCTGGAAGCCCCCACAGCAGGAAGGTGCCTCCTGAGCACAGGGTGAGTTGTCACATTGCCTGGGTCATTCTCCTAGGGACTCACCTGCTGTCCTGTCCATGTGCACAGCAGCCTGTGAGGAACTTGGGGGGTATGGGGTGATCCACACTCCTTGTTCAGGACAAGGGCTTCTGCAAAGGGTGAACAGGGCTCCTGGTGGTGGGGAGAGGGGGATGTTTCCTTTAGGACCTGGGACACTTCCAAAGTTTCTTGTTGGGATTTGCACCCACAGCCAGCAGCCATGAAATGGAGAAGGGGAAGAGCAACAGTGCAGAGTTCTCCTCTCAGGAATCTGCTCTGCTCTGAAGTCTGGCTGCAGGAGATGGGCCTGGACAGTCACTGCCCTCACCCAGATAACAAAGCACAGGAATGAGCCTGAATGCTCTTTGCAGCTTTGAGCTCCCTTCCCTGCAGCACAGTTTTTCTTGGGACACATCCAAACCTAGCCCTAGTTTCCTCTGCCTCGACTGATAGAGCACACCAGGGATACACTGCCCCAGTGTTTTAGAGTCTGTGCTCTTTACATTGCAGAGGAGTGAATACATTGATGTTGTGAGGGATGCAGGGGAAGAGCCCACTGCTAGTAATGTCCAGTCATCTTGTTGTTAAAATGTCTGTGAAATGTTAGTACTGATCCAGGATTTTCCAGAAGAACAATAAGTTATTTTAAAACGTTGATTTTAAAAAAAATCAAAGATTGCTTTTACAATCCCAGGGTTAAATTGAATTTGTTGACATTTACACAGAAACTGATCCAATCTTTGTGTTCTAATTATCTTATTGATTTACTTATAAATCAATATAAATTGAAAATATATAACAGTGTAAATATACACGAAGATAAATGTCAGCACAATGTTTTCTGTCTGAACAAATCTTCTAAATTGTAGAGAACTCAGAACACAAAGATTTACCAAAACCTTGTTTTCTTCACACAGCTCAAGTTGTTATGGAAGAGCATTTGTCACCAAACAGTTAAAAGTAAGAAGAATAATACCCATTGTGGTGGGTGAGCATTGCACAGGTGGGAGGCACACTGTCTGTGCTGTAACTGATAATGAGAAAAGCTTATTGGAAAAACCTATCGATGTGTATGACAAACTGAGTTGCAAAAATACTTGTAAATATTTCTCAATTTTTGTTTCAGACTTCTAAAAATTTACCTCACTTTATTTGCCTTATTTTATTTTGCATTAAGATGTGATATCATAATGCTTAGATCTTGAAGAACATCTACTACAAACAAGTTACTGAATTGCTTTTGGTTCCTTTGGTATTCAAATGATCAAACTATGCACAAACAAATGAGATACTTTGAAAGGCAAGGAAGGCAAGAGATTTCTATCCCAGCAATACTTTGTAGTGATTTTACCAATTAAATAAAATGAACAGAATATCAAAGCTTTTCGTTTCTGTCTTATTCTAGCAGTAAATATTTAGTGCATGTCATAAATAAAAAATAGGAATATATATGTTGCAGATTTCAGCAGCTTCAAAGTATCCAAAAGCAGAATTTCAGAAGTCAAAAATTCTCTTTTCTGAGGGCACATTAATCTCCATTTGGACCAGAAATCATGTTCCAGCCTGTGAAGAGGATATTCAAGGGCTTGAGCAGCCCTGCTCAGCACAGCCCAGAGACATCACTGCAGAAATGGGTATGACATTTCATATACCTGCAGGTAGCTTTAGCTACAATAAAAGTCACGTTTGAAGGCAGCCTGTACCTTTATGCAGCTTTACTCTGAGTTTGGTATGAATTTGCAGTACCTGGGCGAGCTCTGTGCTGACACTGTGGGACCACCTGGCCAGCTCTTGTGTCCCCAGAGCCCCACCAAGGCCTGGAGGAGCTGCCTGTTCTTGGTGGAGCTGGATGGAGCCAGAGAACTGGGGAGAAAATTTTGACAACTGGGAACTAAGGTAATTTTTCACAGACTGGATGAGTCCCTGTGCATTAGCTGTGCCTTTCCTTCAAGAATGAGTCCATGGAGCGAGGAGATACCTTGTTGTAGGCATCTCCTTGTCTGGAGAAAGTCAACAGCAGTGGGCTGGAGCTGCCCTGGGGGAAGAGCCAGAGGTGTCTCATGGCACCGACACAGTCTGGAAGGGATGGACAAAAGCCTGCCTGGGTATGTGTTAGTAGACAGAGCACAAAAATGTGACAAAGCTGGTCAAACCTGCACCGTGTGCTGGGACTTTTGGAGATTTTTTTTTTTCCACTTGGCAAAGAAGGGGCAATAGTAGTGTTTGGCTGGTCTTCTGTGGTTGTGCTTTCCAGATATTCAGTGTTCTGCTCTGTGGGCAGCTTGTCCCTTGCTCTGCAAGTTTCTTCCTTGTTCCCAATGAGGAGTAGCACTGCAGCTCTCAATACCTCAGTTTCCACCCACCACACAGGCAGAGTTGGGAATTAACCCAGAGGACAGCTGGCACTCAGATATTGGGATACTGACATGGGAACTAGCAAATGGTCTGAGGCTTCCATGAGGAATAGGCTGTACCCACCCCATGGCTCGAGACACCTCTGAGTGCTCCCTACTCCCTGCATGGAGCTGGGCAAAACAGCCAATGTTGTCAGCAGGCGTGGAACCTATGGATGTGTGGATGTTTATGGATGTATACGGATGTGCGTGGATGTGTATGGATATGTATGGATGTGCAGATGTGTACGGATGTGTATGGGTGTACAGATGTGTACGGATGTGTATGGATGTACGGATGTGCGTAGATGTGTATGGATGTGTACAAATGTGTATAGATTTATGGATGTGTATGGGTGTTTGTAGCATAAGGATAATATCACACATTCTGAAGATTCTGTTGTCACAGGCTATACAGGCTGTTACAAGACATTTGGGAATCAAAGGGTTTGGAGTATTAGGACAGGAGTCTCCAGTGAAAGTGTTTTGCTGCTGTAGAGCAGATGCTGGTCATGCACTGGACAGTCCCTGCCTGGCAAACAGAAAACAAAACACTGTGTATTTGCTCAGAACTCCTCAAAATTTAATCAAATGCAACTAGAAAAGATGTGGCGGTAAGTCCCATTGAATTCATCTTTATTAGACTTACATTTTCCCTTTTATATGTGCCATGGCATCAGGTGTGTGTCTTGAGATTGTGCTTTTCAGGACATCACAAGGAGGAGTGCAGTGTTCCCAAAGTGGCCCTCAGTTTTCCCAAAGCATGTTCAGTAGATGAGCCCTTCAGAGACCCAGTTGTCCCCAGCCAAGGTGGCATCTGAGCCATGAGGACAGCTGAGGTCACTGCTGTCACTTGCCATTCCACCGCGTGACACAGCCCATCAGCTCTGGATGTGAACACAGGTCACCAGGGTTGCCAGACTGGAACCAAACCTGCACAGCAGTTTTGGAGGGCTGCAGCTTCTCCCCTTAGCCATTGTTATGTTAGTGCTGATTGCCTGCATATGGCACAGAGGTAAACTATAAAGTGCATGAGCTATTCCTTCCCTCTGACAACAAGGCCAGAACAGCACATCAGCTTTATTCCTTCTCTTACCAATCTCCCAGTTCACTGGCAGGCAGAGATATGGCCCTGACATACAAAAATTCCCTGTGATAATCGTACCAAGGCTCTACCAGGGCACTGCTGGTCCCCACGGTGGGGTCATACTGGTCAGTACTTTTCTAGATGCCACAAAGTTTCCTCAGGGGTGTGTGATGATGTAGCGCGACCACAGATGTAGCGATAGAGAGGCTACAGGGCCTTTAAGGGCACCAGACATTTTCTCTCTGTCAGATAATTATCATTCTCATACCCAAGGACACATTCTCCATCAGGTCACAAGTGTTTCCATGATTTTTGGTTATTTTATTAGTACCAGGTCTGGTGGTGCTTTGTACTGTAACAAACATAAACTAGATAATCGTGAGGGAAAATGTCAGATCTTTTCCTCCATTTTTATGGATTCCTTTTTGGTTTGGTGTGTGCATTCACAGGCAGACAGGTCAAGATCAAGATCGAGGATTACCCTGAGAAGGAGAGGCCTGAAGCCTTCTCTATGCCAGATGCCAAAGGGGCACCAGACTGGCTCCAGCCCAGAGCACAAAAAAAAAAAACATTACTTAATCCCTTTTAACAACTGTTGAAACTATTTTTAAACACAAGATATGTTTCTCTACTTTATTGTCCTTTGCTGAGGCATTTTTAAGACTACCACGCCTCAACCCATGCTAAGTAATGAGAGCTGTCTTCCTTCTGGCAAACCTGCCAGCACTCTTTGATAAGTTTAGAAAGATAAACCCATGTGAACCTCGGTGATTTTTTCACCTCATTTTGCTTCACCCAAAAGCAGAAAAGGCTTGCTCCTTGAACATTAATTTTGGAAATTCTGAAGTGTTCTTTGGAGAAGCTTTTAGAAGAGATCCTTACCAGAGGAGATAGCACACACACCTGGCAGCTGACAAACCTGTGCTTGAGGGACTCTGCCAAGGAGCAGCTCCCACGCCTGCCATGCTGGAGCTCCTGGGGACACGCCACGGGACCGGTGCTCAGCTGTAACAGCAGAGAACAAGAGCTCCAGGTGAGACATTTATCTGCTCTTTCACTCCTCTGCTGGGAGCACACATATCCCACATGAATAACATGAAGCCACAGTCTTCCACTGACCAGAGCTCCTCAGCAAGAATTATTATTCTCAGATAGTGAAAATAATAATAGGAAGTGTTGTCCTATAGTCAACATCCAGTTACCTCAACAGCAAAACACTGGGATGCGTCTGTGTCTGCACTCTGTGACTGTTCAGGACAAAATGAGAATCCAAAAGATTTTGAATTTGGTATATTGCTGCAGTGCTTGTGTTATGAATAAAACAGCCTGGCTGGGACACTTGGCTTGGGCTAAGTACTGACATTGAAATGTTAATTAGCTAATTGCTCCTGGGAATCATCTACAACCCCACCCACACTAGGACTTGGATGCAAAATAATCCAGTGAAGTCATGGGAGGGGGTTTTGGGGATGAAAAACACCCCTAAATGGAAAAGATTGGCACAGTGGAGGGGGCTGGATGGGTGAGCACGTTGGGGAAAAGGGAACCCCATCCCTAGTCTGTGTTTGACCTGTCACCATAACCTGCAGAGGACCAGACTGGACTGGGCTGTGGGAAGCAGGCACAAAGGAACATGCACTTCCTGCTGTTACCAGGAGGGAAGGAGAGGGGATAGATGCTGCTGGACTTCGGCAGCAGGCTCTGCACATCCCCCCACCCTTTGGCTACCAGTGAGCAACAGGAGGAAAGGAGAGAGGATGGTCTGCTGATAGGGACTTCAGATACAGACTGCACACCTCTTCCCCTCCAGCTACCAGTGTGCCATGGAGACTCCAGGGCTACCGGGAAAGCTACAACAGTGGGGGGGTGAGCTCCGTGTCAAACCTCCTGCCGAGCTGATCCTTTTAATAAAGAGCTGAACATGAATAAAGGCATAGACCCTGTTCCTTTCACTTGGAGAGATGCTGAGAGCTGTGGGGTTCCCTGCTGCATCCTCATCTTCCAAAGCACTGTGGCTGTTCAGTGGAGATACTGTGCCCCTGGGGTGGATCCCACTAGTCAGTGCCGTCTCATTTGCAGAGCAGCATAAAGCAATCATGGTCTAATTGAAAGTGGTCTGGGATTTTTTTTCCTTAAAAATATTCCTCACCCCCTCTCATTGACAGAACGAGATAGGCCTAGGTCCTTTGGGGAGAAAGTTAAACTAAAAGAAAACCTTTAATTAAGCTTTTTTGATGTTTATGGTGTTCAGAACAGTTCCAAATACCAGGCATTATCAGTAGAGATAATTTTCTCTCTCTTGAACATGAAAACTAGAAGCTATTACTTACTGCAGCTCATTTAATGAGTACATCTTGATCTGATTTGTTGTCTCTGAGTGTATTTCATTCTATTAACATAAAAGTACACAACTATTTCCAATAACCCTAATCCTAATAATCCTATCAATAACCAATAATCAATAATCCGGTGTAGTTTCTTTCAATAATCTTAATATGGTGTAGTTAAAATTGATAGTCAAAGTCACTTGTATGGATGGAATATTTATTTAACAAGTTAGGGAGCAAAAAAGAAATGACATCATATCAGGTAAGAGCTTTGGCCAAAGATAAAACCATAATTGTGCATTTATCTGAGATAATAACAGAACATTGAGCACTTAAAACTGTGTGTCAAATTAATTGTCAATTCTCAAACTCATTCCTGTATCTGACAAGAGGTTACACCAACCTTTTACATTTAAATTGTGTTCTTTGTCTTTAAAGTGGAGTTACTGTCATGAACACTGGGTGCTGATGTGCACAGAGATAAAATGTTTACAGGTTGTCATAGGCAACGTCATAAAGGAAATAATTAAATGGGGTTACAGATTGAAAAAAACCATCTCCGGTATCAGTCCAGAACTTTTGCCCTTACTTGACGTGTAGTTCTGGTTCTGGTATGAGCATCACTGGCACGTGGGCCCTGTTCAGAACACAGCAGGTTTGCTGACTTTGCTGTGGGCACTGAGCATTTCTTAAAGAGCAGCCCAGCAATTTCAGCATTTTCTAGCCCAGCAATTAATTCTGCTCTTGGGAGGCAGAACCAAAGCAGCAAGCAGGCTGTAAAGCCAGATCAGGGCTGGTAAGGTATTCCTCCCTCTGTGGTCCTGTGCTAGCACACAGAGCAGCCTATTAAGGAATCATCTCTGCCAGGATCCCTGGCCCCAGCGAGGATTAGCCCCGGCTGCATCGCGGCAGAGCCGAGCTCAGCAGCACCCGGAGACAGAGCGGGGACCCCGAGGTGCTGGGACAGCGGGTGGCAGCAGGGCTGGGACAGGGATGAGCACTGCTGCTGCCCTCCCATGGGGCTGCGATCTGCTGCTCGGGGCTGGCAAGTCACTGCTCTCACCTTACCTTTTGCAGATCGCTTTGACACCCGTTCTCAGTACATCTCAGCACAAGTACACCTTCCCACAGCTCGAGCTGAAGAGCTTGGTGTCCCTAAATGTGACCTGCCTGTGCTGGTGGTGTCTGTGTGTGCTATCCAGGGGTGAGCACTGGCCACTGGGCAGCGGGGCCAGCCTGGGGCTGGTGACTGCAGACGACCGTAAATGTGAGGCCTGTGGGGAAACTGAGGCAGCTGGGAGTTCTGACCCAGGATTTGGGAAATGGTCCCCACAGGTACTAATTTCTCCCAACCCTCAGGGAGCTCAGAAGGGAATTGAGATGCTGTAGGTAAAAGCTGCAGCATACAAGCAGCATTCCTGCTGGAAGGGTTTGCGTAACAACAGCTCAGCAGCTCACTGATGCATCCCTTGGGTGCAGCAAAGCCGGTGCAGCAAAGAGAAGGCATGGAGAAGGAGGAGGCTGCTGCTGAAGCAAGCTCCTTGAGCCACTTGTAAAATTCTCTGTCGTTAAGGGTCTCTGTGTGCGACTTTCATTGGAATTTCCCTCTATCTACAGCAAAAGAAATAAGCTGAATCTGTGGTCTCTTCTACAAACCTTTCTGTTTCAGTCAAGTGGAATCAGTGAGGCTCTTTTTTAATCCTGAATTGTGTCCTTCATGTATACCTTGCAGTTCTGAACTGTTTGTATGCACAAACTGAAAAGTAAAACCATGAACATTGCATCCACTTTTGAGATAAAATTTATCCTCGGGGCAAGGCGAATAGCTCCCTCCAGCCTCGGGGATCCAGATGAAGTTTCTCAGAGCTGGTGGCCATGCCCACTTCCTGCCAGCACCGATGGGAGCAAGGCAGCAGCACAGATTTATGGCCAATGCCACCAGCCAGGACTCCTCCTTGTATCCTGTAGGTGACCTGTGCTGCAGGGGTGCACTGCTGATGGCACTGGGCAGCCCTGGGGCAGAGCTGGCCTGGTCCTGACCTGCCTTTGGAGTTTGGAGCAGACATCTGCATCTTTGCAGAACTGAAACTGTAGCCCAGAATAAGAAATGTAATAACTTCCCAGATTCTTCCTCCTCCCTTCTAAAAGGGATGCCTTGAGTTTAAAACAAAGCAGTTCATTTAAAACAAAAGACAAATGAATATAGCTGCCTTTGCTGTTTTGCAAGTTTAAGCACCTTATCTTTCCTCAAAGAATAGCTCTAAATATTTTTATTTGCAAGCCCTAAGCAGGAATTTGTATTCATGGTAAGACACTTATTGAGTTAATTTATTTAAGGCTGGGGCATAATTTCGAATAGGGGAAGAGTCTCTAGGCCCCGTGCAATTGTCTCCCTGTTAGGACATTAATATTTAAAAGAGTTATAATATTCTATCAATTAATCTGTGTCTTTTAGGAAGTAGGTTAGCAGTTATTGATGGTCACTTTTGTGAAGGATTAGCTTAAAAAAAGCTGGTACTTGGCAGAACAATGCCTGCCCCTGGCCATGTCCCACGCCCCAGCAGGGAGGGTCCCAAGGTCTGAGGCAGTGAATCCGAATGGAATGTGGAGAATGCGGAGGGAAATAAGGCAGTGCACATCTGGAGGGTGCTGCTGCGGTTCCTCCGCAGTGCCGGGCTCAGACAGCAGCAGCGGGAACGCTGCAGTGCCTTCGTGTGGCTGCCAGTGCTGCTGCTGTCAGCATTTCTTGGAGAGGTGTGAGCCTGGTATGATCCGAGCGAGGAGCTGTTGGTACGTGTTCTGCAGAAGGCTCGTTCATCTTGACAGATAGTTTTACTGATGACACTCGAGACAAATTACTTGACCTCTGAGTACCTTAATTTTTCTGTTCTTAGAAGTTGGGCACATTGATGCTATTTCTTGAATGATTTAAAATGAGAACTGAATTTTAAAAAATTCTTGCTTGTTTTACAACTGTATTAAATTCCATATTGCACTAAGAAACATGGTGCTGCATGGCCTTTAAAAACAAGGTAATGTAGAAACCAATCCAGATGAAATGCCTTTATGCTTAGTGTAGATATTGAGTATTTACTGAGGAAACTGAACATTAGCATGGAAGGATATACAGCTGCAGTGCACCTTTTACTGTGCTGCATGCAAGAGCAAAGTGAATGTGTTGGTACATGCAGGCTGTGGAGGTGCTCAGGAGGGTATGTGGCTGGTTTTCCCCAAACACTTCCTGCAGTGAGGAGTGTTTCACTGCCCTGCAGAAACGCAGACTAATAGAAGTGTAAGACGAATGATTGTGTCTGAACTGTGCTCCTCGAGGCCCCATCTCCTATTTTTTCTTTACATGCTTATCTGTCAGTATTGTCAAACCTTCGATTAATGAGTCACTTGCAAGCTCCTTTCACCCTCACTCCCTTCCTTCAGCCCTGCCAGCCCCTTTCCCATCCTGGGCAGGTGCTGCCGTGGCAGGTGCTCAGCCAGAGTAGAGACACAATAAAACGATCCTGCCTGACAGTCCTTTCCTGCTGGGAGAGGTCAGCGAGTCCCTGCTGCTTCTCCCCTGCAGAGGTGGCCCAGGGCAGTAGTAACTGTGAGGGCAGGGGCTGAGTGCTGAACTCCCGCAGCTCTGCCTGCCAGCACGGGGCTGCAGGGGAAAGCAGCTCCCTTTGTCATGGCCATCACACATGACCAAGGAAAGTAATCCCAGATTACCAGGGGCACTGCACAGTTTATTTGACTTTTACCTGTTACCTGGAAGCTTGGAAGAAAAATTCCGACATGTTCACTGAGGATTTTGTGGCCATGTGTTTGTTGTAACCTCTTGGTGTATTGACTTTGCCCTTGGTCACCAAACAGTGTTTAAGTCTACATTTTTCTGAAAATGAAACCCTTTACTGGACAGAGAAGCATAAATACACAACCTTATTACAATTTCTTCCCACTACTGGTAATCTCTGATGAAAGCTCCTGCCCTGTAACAGCAGAATTGCCATTGTATCAACTGACACATTGAGCAGTGAAGAAATACTGTGGTTATATTCAGCTCTAGGTACTGGTGTCACCTTTCTCTTGCCCAGGAGTACTTACAGATTTCCATTTCACTGCCTTCCAGTCTTTGGTATATTTATTGTCTTCACAGTCATCCCTTGCAAAACATGGGATATTCATTAGGGATGCTCATAAGAGATTCTTCAGCTAAAGTTCATGAAGTCTCATACTTTAACTGAAGCCTGACTTGTAAAATTAACTTCTTAATACAAGCTTTTTAAACAACCTCAACCAATCTTCCTTCTTTTCAATCAAAATTGTGCTCTAACATGGCTTTGAGTGGGTAAATAATTCACTCTCTGGTCCTACATCCTCACATTATAGTGAGGAGCCATTGAGAGCATCTAGAAACATCTGAGTACCATTTCAGAGAATGGGCTAGAAGAGAAAAGTCTTGTTGGAAATTCAGATGTGGGACTGGTATTAGAGCATATTGTGTTTTGAAAAAAAACCATCCTTTCTACAGTGGGATGCACTGCATTCATAGTACTTCGAATGTTCAGGTGTTCTACTGGCTCAGTGTTATTTCCTGGTGCTCTGCTTGTCCCATGGCACAGCACCAGAGCTGTGTATCTGGCTGAGGAGGCAGAGTGTCCCCTGGGCTGTGGGGAGCTACTACAGGAAGGATCTAACCCAAGCGGAAAACTCATGATATTTGGGTTATTATGGTGCAGCCACATTGGAAGCTGAGGCTCTAAATGCCATGTGTGATGAGAGAGGTGCTAGGTCTGAAAAAAAAGGTGTGTGACTGGAGCAGCACCTGCAGCAGGTAGCTGGAGATCAGAGTGGAGCAGAGCACAGCTCAGAGCTGCCACTGTGGCACCTGCTCCAAGGCCAGCACAAGCCTGAGGAGTCTCGGGCCAGCAGCCAAACTTGGTTCCACTCCCAGAAATGTCAACGAAACCCCTTTGAAGTGCAATGACCTCATGCTCTGCTGCATGCTGAGTGGCTTGCCATCGTTGCTGTTAATAGCAGGGGTTTATCCCACATACAATCAATGGAGCACAGAGTTACAGCCTTTCTGTGGGGCTGGGCAGGGGAGCCTGGGACTAAAAGAGGCTGAAACTGCCATCTGTGGGCAGGATCTCTCTTGGCTTCAGTGTCTGCTCTGGGAGCTACCCACACATTTTCATATTTAATCAATCTATTCCTATGGTGCCATTCTCAACACCAGCTAATTGCCATCCTATACTGAGAGGAGAGGAGCTAGTGTCACCAGGGCTTTTTATGTGGTAAGTGATAGAACATGCTAAAAAAATTATACTAGCCAGGAAAAAGGGCAGAAACCACTGTGTATCATGTATGTTAAACATCACTCTGTGATGGTTCTGACTGTGCAGCTTTCTTCTCCTTGTCTCCTTCCCTTAAATTAATTTTTCTTAAACCACGAGACTTTGTCTTTCTTTTCTTCTTTACAGACAAGCAGAGCAAATACAGAAGCAATCTCCAGACATGTTCTTCAGATATTTTTCCTACTTTGGTCTGTGTTTTTTCCTTCCAACCCAAGGGTAAGTGTAAGGTTTGTTTTGTTTTAAAGGGAACCTTTGAATGATGTTTCACATAAATACTGTAGGTCAAAAGGAAACTATGCTTCCAGTTATTCAGCCCACCCAAAGGTGGCAGGATGCAGTCAGGGATGTGGTATAGGAGAGAGCAATCTGCATAGATCCCTAAACTACATTGCCCATTAAAAGTGCAACCCCTGATTGCCTGTTCAGAACCAGCACAGGTTGTAGATTTTTGCCAGAAATGCCTCCCATAAGGCTCCCAGCTCTGTTATTACCATCCTTGGATGTACAAGTCTCAAATTTTTTGAATATATATACTGTGCAAAACCTGATTCTACTGTAAGGTCCTGTTTAATCTAAACCTTGCAGCTCCAAGGCCCTATTAACCCAGCTGTGAAGGATGCAGAAGAAAAACCCTTGGTGAGAGCTGTGAGTAGCTCCATGGCTGCTTCCTGCCCAGAGCAGGGTCCTGGCACTGGGAGCAGCAAAGGCTCTGTCTCCTACCTCCTCCTGCCCAAAGCACAAACTCCTAACCCTTCACTCAGTTACACTTTTCTCAGGTGAGGCTGTGCCACCCTGTACCTTAACACTCACCTTTTACCATCCAAACCGTGTCCCGCTCACTGTCTGTGTGAGGGTGCAGATCTGTCAGCCTCGAAACACAGCTTCTGCCTTCAATGACCAGCCACACAATATAAATTTTGACATTGTAATCTAGAGTTGCACCCTCAGTATACCCAGCAGCTGGAGCTGCACCTCCCACAGAGCTGAGGGGGTGTCTGTGAAGTGCACAGTCCTCCACCTTTCCCCTCCAGTATTACTCCTGATAGCAGCTGTAGAAGCTGACACTCACATGTTACGAGGATGAAGCTTATTTAGGGAACTAGAGATTAGAGCAGAGGAGAGAGGAGGAGCTGTTGGGCTGTAAGATTTGTCTCAGGTTGTCATAAATGGAAGGAAAAAAAATTATATTCCTTATATAGACTGTACAAGAAGGAGTGGGAAGGGGAGATCGGGCTTTATTGCTCAGGCTTGTGATCTACAGATATTGCTTAATTTTTCTCTGGTATTTTAAGAACAATCTAAAGATACTGTGTTTTCAACCTGTAGCTATCAGCTGAGGCAATTTGCCATTTTCCCACCTCTTGAAGGTGTTAATTATTCAGCCAAGACAGCAATGTGAGCAAATGCTTGTGATTTCAATTATCTACTTGGTTTTAGCAACTATTTTATACTGTTTGTTTGTCTGTTTGTTTGAGCACAAGCTGGAAGCAGCTGCAACTGCACACCAGATGTGCCCAGCCCAGCATGTAACAGTTGGTGTTTGTGTCCCCAGGAGCTCTCTGGGTCATGGATCCAGCTTGCATGGCAAGGGCACAATGTCCCTCCCTGGATTTGAGAACCTCACAATGGGGTACAACAAATACCTCCGGCTCTACTTTGGTGGTATGTTGGCTCCATGCAAGGAGCATTTAAAATCAGTCTATTATGCTCATGTGGAGGGGAGAGCAGGCTTTAACCTTGCTATAGGATGCTGCAGTTTCAAAAGTGTGTTTCTTTGAAATTAGTTGTTGTCCCAGGCTGCCCTCCTTTCTGTGCATCCATTACTGTCTTGAATAGCTGGTGCATGTATGTGTGGGGCTTGGGAACAGGTCCAGCTGTGAGGTGAAGAGCAGGGAATTTATAAACTTTAACATCTCTATGAAAGACCTGACAAAATAATTCAATTCTGCTCTAACTGTACAAGCTTTTGTTTAGAGCCTGACCCTTGTGATTTTCTGCTTTACTTTTGATCATGTACAGCTATTATAGCTATTTATGCAGCTATAGAGGAACAAAGCCATTCTTATTGCCAGGAATGTTGACTTTTGACACAAATCTATTTCAAACCCTAGTGAGACTCTGTGGAGTTGGAAAGGAATTTAGGAACTTGTCTGAGGCTATTGAGCAATTTGGGTGTCAGGTCTCTCACCTTCCAGGTGAGTGGTGTCGTCACACAGAGGAACAGGTTTCTCAGAATGACATTCAGAACCTGAAAAATACCATTGAAAGTTTAAGAAACAGTAATTACCATTTTTATTTCTATTAATTTTGGTTTTGTGCCTGAACCATTAATGAAACCCCTCTTTACAGAAAAAATTCCCATCAGCTTTCACAAGGCCATGGTTATTTCCCATTATAGACAGACCTGCTGCTACTGGCAGCCCTGAGCTGCTTCCTTTTTCTGGCCATGGTAATAAATGCCTGAGCCTACAGAATTTACCGTCTTGCTCTGCCTAGAATGGCTGACCTGATGCAGGACTAGAAAAGCTCCTCTGTGACACCAGTGAGCAGATGCTTCTCTACAACATAACAGAAATCCACTGCATCTGCAGCAAATATTAAACAAAGCCAGACGGGACTCTGGTGTGACCTCCCCCAGAGGCTGAGTCCTCACAGTTGTGTCCTGTGGTCAGTAAACGCAGTGGGCTTGAGTCCAAATAGACAGAGACGTGAACAACAGCTGTTTTAAAAAATACACATCTTCTGCAAATGAAATATATTTATGAACCATTTAAAACAAACAATCAAAGCCAAAACCACCAGGAAAGCGTTTCAGAAATTGTGTCCATTGGTCGTTCCTCACTGTGACTCATATGATCAACAGGAGTTTTGGCAGTTCCACGAGGAAAGGCACTGCTGTGTTGTCATGCAGGCAGAGAGGGCTGTGCTGGAAAACACTCAGAGCCCCGCGTTCCCCTGGCATGGGCAGAGCCCGGCCTGGCGTGGGGTCCTCGTGTGCCCGTGTCACTGTGTCTCTGTGTCACTGTATGCCCCTGTCCCCTGTCCCCGTGTCCCTGTGTCCCCCTGTCCTCCTGTCCCCTGTCCCCTGTCCCTGTGTCTCCCTGTTCCCTGTCCCCTGTCCCTGTGTCCCCCGTCCCCTGTCCCCTGTCCCCTGTCCCTGTGTCCCCCTGTCCCTGTCCCCTGTCCCTGTCCCTGTCCCCTGTCCCTGTGTCCCCCTGTCCCTGTCCCCTGTCCCTGTCCCTGTGTCCCCCTGTCCCTGTCCCCTGTCCCCTGTCCCTGTGTCCCCCTGTCCCTGTCCCTGTCCCTGTCCCTGTCCCCTGTCCCCTGTCCCTGTGTCCCCCTGTCCCTGTCCCCTGTCCCTGTCCCCTGTCCCTGTCCCCTGTCCCCTGTCCCTGTGTCCCCCTGTCCCTGTCCCCTCTCCCTGTCCCCTCTCCCTGTCCCCTCTCCCTGTCCCCTGTCCCTGTCCCTGTCCCTGTCCCCTGTCCCCTGTCCCTGTGTGTCCCTGTCCCCTGTCCCTGTCCCTGTCCCTGTCCCCTCTCCCTGTCCCTGTCCCCTGTCCCTGTCCCTGTCCCCTGTCCCCTGTCCCTGTCCCCTCTCCCTGTCCCTGTCCCCTGTCCCTGTCCCTGTCCCTGTCCCCTGTCCCCTGTCCCTGTGTCCCCCTGTCCCTGTCCCCTGTCCCTGTCCCCTGTCCCTGTCCCTGTCCCCTGTCCCCTGTCCCTGTCCCCTGTCCCTGTCCCCTGTCCCTGTCCCTGTCCCTGTCCCTGTGTCCCCCTGTCCCCTGTCCCTGTCCCTGTCCCTCTCCCTGTCCCTGTGTCCCCCTGTCCCTGTCCCTGTCCCTGTCCCTGTCCCCTCTCCCTGTCCCTGTCCCTGTCCCTGTCCCCTCTCCCTGTCCCCTGTCCCCTGTCCCTGTCCCTGTCCCTGTCCCCTGTCCCCTGTCCCTGTCCCTGTCCCTGTCCCTGTACCTGTCCCTGTCCCTGTCCCCTCTCCCTGTCCCTGTCCCTGTCCCTGTCCCTCTCCCTGTCCCCTGTCCCTGTCCCCTGTCCCTGTCCCTGTCCCTGTCCCTGTCACTCTCCCTGTCCCCCTGTCCCTGTCCCCTGTCCCTGTCCCCTGTCCCTGTCCCTGTCCCTGTCCCTGTCCCCTGTCCCTGTCCCCTGTCCCTGTCCCTGTCCCTGTCCCTGTCACTCTCCCTGTCCCCCTGTCCCTGTCCCCTGTCCCTGTCCCCTGTCCCTGTCCCCCTGTCCCTGTCCCTGTCCCTGTCCCTGTCCCCTGTCCCTGTCCCTGTCCCTGTCACTCTCCCTGTCCCCCTGTCCCTGTCCCTGTCCCTGTCCCTGTCCCTGTCCCCCTGTCCCTGTCCCCTGTCCCTGTCCCCTGTCCCCTCTCCCTGTCCCCTGTCCCTGTCCCTATCCCTGTCCCCTGTCCCTGTCCCTGTCCCCCTGTCCCTGTCCCCTGTCCCTGTCCCCTGTCCCTGTCCCTGTCCCTGTCCCTGTCCCCTGTCCCTGTCCCCTGTCCCTGTCCCCTGTCCCCTCTCCCTGTCCCCTGTCCCTGTCCCTATCCCTGTCCCCGTCCCCGTCCCTGTCCCCGTCCCCGTCCCTGTCCCTGTCCCTGTCCCTATCCCTGTCCCCTGTCCCTGTCCCTGTCCCCTGTCCCTGTCCCCTGTCCCTGCCCCTGTCCCTGTCCCTGTCCCCGTCCCCGTCCCTGTCCCCGTCCCCGTCCCTGTCCCTGTCCCTATCCCTGTCCCCTGTCCCTGTCCCCTGTCCCTGTCCCTGTGTCCCCCTGTCCCTGTCCCTGTCCCTGTCCCCTCTCCCTGTCCCTGTCCCTGTCCCTGTCCCTGTCCCTGTCCCTGTCCCCGGGCGGTGCTGCCCTCTCGCGGTGGCTCCCGCCGCTCTCGGCCGGGAGCTGGAACCGGGCAGCGGCCGCTGCTGCTCCGCATTTCAGGAGTGCCTTTCTCGGGAATCAGGGACCTTCTCTCCTCTCGGTGGCTCCTCCCGAGGAACCGGGGGTGCCCAGCGCTCCCTGAGATGTGGGAAGTGATGTGTGGAGAGGTTCTTGGCCTGGCTGCTCCGTGCCTGGTGTGGGCTGGGATCAAGGGACAAAGTGGCCCTGGCTGCCTGTCCGACGGCAAATGCCACTGAAATGCTGCTGATAAACTCCTGAGCTTTGCAGCCACTGGTAATGGGTATTTGCTCCCTGCTACCATCACCAAACATAGAACTACAGCTCCCTAACAGTGACAACTGCATTTTGGTATGTAGAATTTGTGAGCCTAATGTTCTGAAACTGTGTCTGACCCTCTGGGCCTCTGCAGTTTTAGTGACCGTGAGTGAGGCTGAGGACAGTGCCCACCCCGCACAGCATCCTGAGTAGCTTTACTGTGCCCTCCACACTTCCCTTCTCTCTGCTGAAGCATTTCATTCCCTCTGCAGGAGAACCTGTACAAATTGCAATAAGTCTGGACATTGCAAGTATTTCTAGTATATCTGAGAGTGACATGGTAAGTGAAAAAACTTTTATTTTACAAGGTAAGATTGGGATATGCCTGAGAGACTTCACATGTGTTCCTGTGTGTCCAGCACAGAAATGGTCGTTTTGAAACTGCTTTGCTGTTCAGGGGCTGTTGACCACTTTCAGCACTGGGATGAACACAGAGCTCATTTATGACTGCAGACTGTTGTCCTGGTTTAGGGCAAATTTGGGAAGAAACTCCCAAAGGGGTTCCTCTAGAATGCAGATTCAATTGGCCCCTCCCACAACTGGTTCAGGAAAATATTTCCTTGGAGAAAAGTGGAAAAAAATGGTTATTTAATAAGCAAAGTATTCACAAGCTTAAAAAATGAATAATATTAAACATTAAAACCTCTCGCTGTTCTGAAGAGATGACAAATTCAGAAAGTCCTTTTCATGGGCTGTAGCTCATCTTATTCAGTCTGTTAACTGTCCCTCCAGCACTGGAATGCTGTGTCGTGGTGCCTCTGGGCCACAGGTGTGAGCTCCTGGTGTTTTTCTGGATTTTCAGTCCAGAGCAGGTTTGAACATTTCCAAGAAAAAGAAAAAAAACCACAGTCCAGGCAACTTCTCTGCCTCAGCTAGATAAAAAAAAACTAACTAAAAGCAAAGGAGAGCTCTGTCCCACTGTCTGTCTGTGCTGCAGACAACGCAGTCTGTGAGAAGGAATGCCGGGGAGCAAATGCAGTTTCTGAAAACAAACTGTGCATTTCTTTTCCCCCCCTTCACCTTCAAATCTCATCTTAAAGGTGCAGAACTTAATATCCAACATAAACAGAACAGACAAGTGGGAATACAAGCATCATATATTCACCCTAAGACAATTGTGTAGGTGCCATAGTAATGTGGGCTTACAAGAAAAAAGAAGTGGTTCCAAATGTCCTACTGGTCAAAAACTCAGCACTTTCTGGAAATCAGACCCTGTGGAAATAGAAAAAATTAATTCTGTGTGGCATCCCTTGTGAGGAAGAAAGTTGAATAGTCCAGCAGTGCCTGTGGTGTACAGAAGGCTCAGCAAAGCATCAGCTTCAGAGCTGAGTGGGTGCTGCTGATTCTTTTCTGGTGGGGCATTGTGAGAATGCTCCAATCAATGCTGCAGATTGATTTTGGCAGGCCAAACTCAAGCTAATCCCAGTGTTCTTAGATTCAAAATTCCTATTAAAATACAAGTCACAAGTTATCTTTTTTTACTTGTTTGGAGTTTTTTTTAATGATATATATATTTTTTCCCCTGACATAACAGGTTGGATTCACTTTCTTTTTTTCCCCAAAGTGCCTCTTTGATGACCAGATTTATAGTACCAGATTTATAGTGTGTAGTGTCCCAGCTCTAGGCTCTGGTCTTTATAGGACCAGATTTATAGTGTGGAGTTTCCCAGCTCTAGACAGTGACTGATCTGTAATGTCAATGACTTGTGGTGTGGCCTCAAGTGTGTGCTTCCCATCTGTTCTCTTACCTGCAAAATGGGCACAAAAGCATCAGTTATAATAACTGCTCATTAAAATCATAGAGTACTGTAAGTATAATCTTTAGTCCTCAAATGCCACATCTTAGAGTGGAAATGTATTAGAAATATTACAGAGTGAATAAAACTGTGATGAAAGTGAAGCTTGATGCTTGGCTGTGGTAGGTCGAATGAGGATGTGTTCTGTCCCTTGTCACACATGTAGTGTGTCCCAGCTGTCGTGCAGGTGCCTGGACACACACCCCCAGGCTCTGCTCTCTTTCTCAGGATTACACAGCCACCATCTCCCTGCAGCAGCGCTGGACAGACCCGCGGCTGGTCTTTCATGGCAACAAGAGCTTCACGCTTGATGCTCGCCTGGTGGAGTTGCTCTGGGTGCCAGACACCTACATTGTGGAGTCAAAAAGGTCCTTCCTGCACGATGTCACTGTGGGCAACCGTCTCGTCAGGCTGTTCTCTAATGGCACTGTCTTGTATGCCTTAAGGTACAGAGACCTTTGGCTTTGCTGCTGCTGGCTCAGAATAGATTTCCAGAATTACCCTGGGCAGGAGCAGGTACCAGCTGTCACAGGTCATGAGTTTGGGGTCAACAAGCCAGCTGTGATCATTCTCTCTGATCCATTTCCCCCTGTTCTAGCTTCCGGAAATGCCAGTCAAGGATCAGGATCTCCCATCACGATAAATGCTGTGTCCTGAGACCTGCTCAGAAAGCTCACAAGTTTAGTTGTCACTGAGGAAAAATCCAGACAGATGAGGGCAGGGGAGGAATGGAAGGAGGACATCACAAAGTAAAAGTTCAACTGATAGTGGGAAAACATTTTCTTATCCAGTGCCATGTAATGATGACTTCTGTATTTTACCAAGAAGTATATTTGTCCATGAACATCAAGAAGGTGCACAGCACTTGAGTTAGCAATTTCTACAGTGCTCTCCTTAGCTTGCATTAAGTGGGTCCCAGTTATCTCAACTGCAGAGTAATACTCACCTACCTCCACTTCAGAGAAATCCAGAGTGTGTGTGCAGTTAGTCACTGCATCTCATGTCACAAGTGCTGACTTCTTAAGATGAGCAAATTGTAGCAATGGGGAAAAAAAGTGAATCTGCACTCTATATCCCACTAGATCAAAGCAAAATTCCTCCTTGGGCTACATTTTCATTGGCATAGCTGCAGAGAGTGCTTGTTCTTGAGGGTTCTCAGTTAATTCATATCATAGGTCCAATATTCTAACTCTGCTCTCTAGAGCAGAGCTTTGTGATTCAGTTTGCTGTGTAAAACATGCTTTTATTGCAATTTTCAGAGTCCTTTCTCTTTCTACAGAATCACTACTACTGTTGCCTGTAACATGGACCTGTCAAAATACCCTATGGACACACAAACATGCCGACTGCAGCTAGAAAGCTGTAAGTATAATGTTCTAGAAAACTCTAAATTTGTTTATTCATAAGTAACTACATATCTTGAAAATTTGGATTAAGCACGGTGGCTTTCTGGAGTAGATTTTTATTCCTGCAAATTACAATGTTCAAAAGAAAACAACTTCTATGTCATCATTCTTCAAATGTTTGTGTCACCGTGCAGTTTATGCAAAAGAGTGGTCATACAGAATATTAATTAAGGTGTAGATAATTCAGTCATGCAGAGAAAGGATGAAGTGATGGTGGTTGGTTTTCAAAATTCAGGTTATTTTGAACACACAGCTTCTTCAAAACTAACTTGTGGGATAAGTGTCTGTGATAGAGTACAAGAAGGAGCAATTCTCACATCTTTAGGTAGCTAATACCTGTTGCACCCCCCAAATCCCCACTGTAAAAGGACATTGGGAAGTGTGGTTCTCACTAGAATTAGAGTTGAACATGGCTCTCAAATTCATGAGCTGAAACTAAGGCCAAACCCAGGTTTGTAGTACCTGCCCCCCCACTAGGGAGGGGATACAGAAGATGGGACCCTCAACAACTGAAGAGTCTCAGACTGGGAAGTCTCAAGAAGAGGAATTATCAGTGAGTTCTGCTCTCAGATTAAAAACTCGCCTATGGCAATGCTGGCTGAGAAAGACTCCAGGGCAACGTGGGCCACTGCAGCGTTGTTACCCCAAAGCTCCGCCACTGCAGTGCTGCTGCTCCAGACCTGTGATGGGCAGGCAGCCAGCTCCTGCTGCTTGACACAAAACCAAACTTACACCATCTCAACATGGAAAAAACCAGATTTTTAACTTCTTGGGTTGCAGCACGAAGCACCTAGGGAAGCACATATTATTTTCACATTAAAATCATATTAGTTCACCACGGTTAACTTTATTACAAAGAATAGCTCCTGAAATAATAATGATTGGCCTCTTCAGCTAAAGAGGAACATGTTTAGGCCTGGTTTAAAACTGATTGGGTCCTACATCATGCTCAGTTGCTGTATAATTCCAATGAAATTACATACATATTGCCCACTGGAGATTTCATTAGGATAAGTGCCCAGAAGTAATGCTATTTAAATATACACCAGATGAATTAACAACAATCTATCACTTAGAAAATTTTCCTGATTAACCACAATTTATAAAACCACTTAGGAACTTTGAAAAGTTGCATGCTTAGGATTCTACTCAGGGATTCATGCTCTGGACACCTAATTTAGGAGTTCATCACGGCCAAGCTCCTGTAATCTGTGTCTAATAAGAAAGCACAATTAGATGCAAATAGAGCTGCAACTTCATCTGATCCCTTCTACCAGGACAAATGGGTTATTATCAGAATCACAGGGTCCCTACTCATGGTCTCAAAGAAGGGCTCTCAATAAAAGAATTAAATCAGTGAAGCTGATGGACTTGTTTCCTAAATCAAGTCAAATTTCTGAAGGGAATGGCAGGCTGGCAACTCAGTACAATATTTACCTTCAGACTGAGGTATCCCTCAGTGTAACCTGAGGTTATGTCATCCCTGGAGGTGTGCACTCAGATGGCATATATGGAGTCCCACTGCATTGAGGCAGGAATTTGTTATTATCTAAATGCTGTGTGCATTTATTTGTCCTCAGTAACTTAATGCCTTTGAGGATAGGAGGAATGATGTGTAGAAAAGGTTGTTTTCGTGAGCAGGTTTTCTGGACAATGTGTACCCAGTCAGGGGAGCCTGGTTCTTAATCACATAGCAGTCTCAGCTGTAAGTTCCTGACTAACTGAAAATGCTTTTTCTGATGTTTTGAAGCACTTGAATCGATGAAATGTGCTTCTGCTCTGTGGTAAGGGGCTCAGTGGAATCTGAATTTTCTTTCTTAACCACTGTGTTTCTCCTGCTCCCCTCTCAGGTTGAAGAGAGAGACTGTATTTGAGAGTTAACCACAGCAGTACTAATATCCCATTGTGTGTAATCAAGCTGTGTATGACAGCAATGGATGATCTTTGAAAACATGAATACCCCATGTAAACAACTCCAGGAGGCTCTCAGCAGCCTTGCATGTTGTGTGTCATTCCCAGAGGTGTGTGTTCCTGTCCACATCCGGAGCAGCAGCCGAAGGGCAATGAAGGAAGCACAGCCAATGTTCCCTGCATGGTCAGACACAGCTCAGGGGCCTCTGTCCAGTCTGCAGTGCTGGGGTCAGGGTTCTGCTCCCCACAGAGCAGAGATAGCTGGGCTCTCCCTGGCCACAGCAGTCACACAGTGCCTGTGTTCTCCTCAGGGGGCTACGATGAGAATGATGTCACCTTCACCTGGCTGCGGGGAAACAATTCCGTGCGCGGCATCGAGAAGCTGCGGCTCTCCCAGTACACGGTGGAGCACTACCACACCCTGGTCTCCAAGTCACAGCAGGAGACAGGTAAATCTGGGAGAGAAAAAAGCAGGAAAAGCTCTTGGATATTCCTCATCCCATCTCCTCTCTTTCTGTGGGCCAGGATCATTTGGCTCAGTCCTGAACCAGTAAAAACTTTAGCAGATCTTAATCTCACAAAAAGAGATGAACAGAAAGGTGGTGACATCCTATTAGTTACAGCCAGGATGTTCTTTAAAACAGAAATCCACAGAAAGATAGAAGCTTAAAATATACTCTATTCATTTGATGGATTTTAAATTCTTTTTTTTTACTTCTTCCTATCTTCCTCCACACATACCTGAAGAAACTCTGTCCCTTCTATCCAAGTGTATAGTCTATAGATACTGCGGAGAGCAATGTTTACAGTAACTAGGAGTAAAATTAATTTTTAAAATATACATCTGTTTCTAAATTACAATTCTATCATGATGAGATAACATATTTTTGTAGATCAGAATTCAATGTCTTTTTCATTATCCGTGTAAAATACTCTTTTCTTCAATTACAGATAGTATGAAAGGGGGCTTCCTTAGAATGACAAGGTTTTAAAAATAACAATGTTTTGTTGCTTTGTTACACAGCCCATGAACAACATGGACTTTGTTTCTACATTTCAATGGGAATTATTGTTTCTAGAGCAGAAATACTTCCTGAAAACACTAGTGATCCAGCCTCAGAACCCTTATGTCAGTATTTACAACAAATTGGTTTTTAAAAGATGGAGAGCTCAAAAATATACAATTAAAAAAGATCACAAATCACTAATGAAAATGGGAGTCTGATTCTCTGTGATGATAAAGCACAGGGATGCTTTGGGGTGAGCCAGAGCCTGCTGACATCAAGAGACAAATGTTTTGTCTGTTTTTCAGCTATCAGGTAAGGCTGAACCTTGCACTGCCCTTCAGAGCAGGTGTTGGGAAAGGTGCTGTGCTGAGTGTGAGAGAGTGGGAGCATCAGCCCTGCTCTGCTCAGAGCTGAGGCCCTGCTGTAATATTCCCACTATGCTCAGGGGCAGGAGCCCCTTTGCAAGGCATGTGCTGCTCAGATGGTTGTTCAGATGCTGCTTTGCCTTTCAGTGCTGTGTGTGTCCTCCCGTGTCAGATGTGTTACCTGCACATGCTCTGCTGAGCTCCATCAGCTGAAGGGCTGGTGCTGGGCTGTCCCAGTTCTACTTGAGGGGTCCTTGGGAACCTCACATTCACCAAGTCTCTTCCTTTCATAAACAGGCAGTTACCCACGACTGATATTACAGTTTGAACTGAGAAGAAATGTCCTTTACTTCATTTTGGAGACCTATGTGCCCTCCACTCTGCTTGTCATGTTATCCTGGGTTTCTTTTTGGATCACACTGGACTCAGTGCCTGCAAGAACCTGCATTGGTGAGTTCTGGCCTAAGGAATGGAGAAGATTTAAGCAGACAGAGGAGACTTTAAAAGCAGGGTAGATGGTACTTTTCTTGAGCTACGTGCTCAGGGATAAATGATCTGCTCATCTTCTGCTGTTCTTTGAGGCAGAGTTGGGTTGGTGTGGAGGAGATGCTGTGGCAGGGACATGTGCCCACCTGCAGGGCTATGTGTGGCTGAAGCTCTCAGGAGATCCATTGCAAAGAGTAGAGGACAGGGCACAGGATCTTTATGGTGTGCTTTGGAGAAAGCAGGATGGAGGGTGGAGGGAATTTTTTACTGAAAGCATGAAAAAGAAGAGAGCCAACTGCCTGTTGGAGCCAAGCTGCCAAAGGCAGGGAGAGCCTATGTGAAGCTAGTGAATGCTGCAAAAGTATTTCAGTTGCTATGATAGATGATTTGGATTTGGTAGTAAGTGATGTGCTTTAACCAGCTAGCAATAAAGAGCAATGACATGAGCAGAAGGATAGGCCAAGACTTCTCCAAAGTTTCCACAAGAAATGGTCTCTCTGTTTTCCAAGGAGTTACAACAGTGCTTTCTATGACAACTCTGATGGTCGGTTCACGAAGTTTACTTTCAAAAACCAACTGTTTCATTAAGGCCATTGATGTTTATCTTGGCATCTGCTTCAGCTTCATCTTTGGTGCCCTTGTGGAGTATGCAGTGGCTCACTACAGCTCCTCACAGAAGTGTGCAGCTAAAGTACCAGAAGAGGTAAGGCTCGACGTACCTTAATAAGGCCAGTGGTCTTGGATTGGCAGCAATTAGTTCTCCATTAAATGAACAAGACAGATAGTCCTCTTACTATGGATACATCAACAAGGCTTCTCCTAACTGGCACTAAACCTAAACTTTTGTGTGTAACAAAACATGAATAGCGCAGGAATGCTGTGTCTCTGGCAGACTTCTGAGCAGTAGCCATAAATAATCAGGTATGACTGTAGTCCAGTTGTCATCAATGGCCCAGATCCTGTCAGGGGAAAAGGAGGTTTCTCACCGCACTACTGAGTTCCCAGCCATTAAGTTACTGTGTAGATAGGAAGAGATGGATATCCTGTAGGAGATGGATGTTGGATTACTCATAGTAAAACTTACTCAAGGATCTAAAAATATCTCTAGAAATACAGTGGTGGAAATAGGCATCTCTTGGACCTCAGGCTCTCCTAAGATTATGCAGCTGAAAGGCGTGTTTGAGTATTGGGATGACCACATATAAAGCTGTGCTCTTATGTCTTTATCCTTATGGTCTTCTTCCTCTGCAGAGGAAGATAGACCTTAAAACTGTGCACTCTTTGTTCCTAGGGGCCTGCAAATGAACTGACTGAAGAAATGGAAGAAGTTAACATTACCAACATCATAAAAAATTCCATCACCAGCTATAAACAGAAAATCAGCTTCGCAAGCATTGAGATTTCCAGCAATAATGTTAACTGCAGTGACTTGACCATGAAAAGTCATGAGAAAATCAAATGTGTCTTGAGGAACAAAATGCGCAGGATCATTGGTTATTTCACAATTCAGAACCCTGGCAATGTGGATCACTACTCCAAATTGCTTTTCCCTTTGTTTTTCATGGTGGTCAATGTGTTTTATTGGGCTTATTATCTGTATTTTTAGTAGAAATTAGTTGGTTCATTCTCCTACTTCAGCAGGAGAGGAACTGTGCCAGTGGGCATCCAGGTACCTAACCTCAGTGAATTCAATGTGGACAAAAATCTTCCTTGTGTTTCCTGAGGTACCCAGCAGAAGTGTGTGAGGTGTGCATGCATCAGCAGCACTGACTCTGACAGCAGCTGTTCAGCTGAGTGGCTGTGCTGGGCTCTTCTGCTCATAGCTGCATTTCATTCCACACCTCACCTGGCTGGAGATGGGTGTGCAGGACTGCACTGGCAGCTACAGAGCACTACAGGTGGCAGAATTATTTTGGTAGCTTGGAGCATACTGGAACCTTCAAGTTGAGATGTCCCAGAGGATGCATAAGCTCATGACTGTTATTCTTTGTTTGCCAGAGAGAACAGAGGGACTGTGATTGCTGCCACAATAGCTGCTCTGTTGCAGTGAGAGCCCTGAGGCAGCAGCAGGAGCTCAGTGCAGTGCAGCACAGTGGGATGCTCCTGTGCATGGTGCTGCTTTGTCCTGGGTGGTACAGTGCCAGGATTAGTACTGCACAGTGGTGCCTCACTGCTTTTAATCTGTAACTCACTCAGATAACCCTCACTTGCTGAAGTTCTCCATCCCCAAGACACATGGAGGGTTGTTGTTTGTTGAGCTGAATTTTTTCAGAGATTTGGGAACATGAAATAGAGACAGCAAAGTTATTTTGTAACCTATCTCTTATACTCTTCCTGCTGTACTGCGCATGAACAGATTCTACCCCTTTCCATATCTTCCTCACAAATTATTTTTTTGTCCTGGAGAATGTTTCCTTCAGTCTTCACTACTACAAGCAACTCTCACTCCTTTGCCAGCCATAGGCACAAGTGGCCATTTGTCATCCCCTCCTTTACATGGCTGTGCAGCTGTGGCAAGTCAGCAGTGCTCCTGGGTGAAAAACCTGCATGGGTTGGGGTAGGCTAGTCTAAATCACGCTTTCACTCTCATGCTTTCACTTTTAGGTTGAAACACTGTTACTTTTTTGAGAAAAATCATATTCTAAGCAGGTTCTGGAAACTGCCCAAAGTCAGCTTTGTTTATCCTGCATTCAGCAGAAGCCAAAGTTTTCTTTTAAATATAAATGAAATGTGGCCACATCATTACATTAAAGAACCAAATCCTATTTTGCACTCTATAGCTTAAGAATGCTGGAAGTCTTTATTTGCTGATTGTAGAATGAAGTTTTATGGCAAATTTCCCCACCCGGCACCCTTTTTTGTTTTGTGCTGCTTTCATCACTGAGAGGGGGTGTCCCAGTTTAGGGCAAATTTGGGAGAAAATTCTCTGGAAGGGGCCCACAGAAAACAAACCCCCATGGCCCCTCCCCCCCCACCTGGTTCAGGAAGAATTTTCTCAGAGAGAAGTGGAAAAGAACCTGTTTATTTAACAAACAAAACCCTCCCCAGCACAAAAAAAAAAAAAAAAAAAAAACCACCAAAAAAACCCCAAAAAACAAACAAACAAAAAAAAACACCCAAAAAAAACCCAACACCAGATGACAAAAAAACTCTTTCACCACTCTGAAGAGATGACAAATCCAGAAAGTCTCTCTTGGGAATAATCGCCCGGATCTGGATGCTGGGGATTGCTCTGGGCACTGGGGATGGCTGCTGCAGATCACAAAATGCAGACTCTCGGTGTTCCTCAGTGTTTCCCTGGTCCCAGTCCAGAACAGGTTGGAATGTTATTCAGGAAAGGGAAAGGGGGAAAAAAAACAGTCCAGGGAAGAAATTGGACTGCTTAGCTAACCTAACAAGCAAAAGCAAAGGCAAAAGCAGAAGCAGGAGCAAGAGCAAGCAAGCAGAGCAAGCAAGCGAAAGCAAGCCAGCAAAGCAAAGCAAGCCAGCCAGCACAGAACACACGATTGGGGATACCAGCATCATAACGTCACCCCATGACAGGGGGCAATCCTGCAGTTATGTGGGCAGAATCAGAATTGCCTGCAGTGGCTCCATTCAGCAGAGCTCTGTCAGGCTGAGGCCTCTCGGTTTGTAGCTTATGTTATAGTCTCAGCATGCAGTGTTTGCTTAGTTGAAGGATCTCTTCTTGGGGGTTCCTAGAGAAGGTGAACAGAGCACGTGAAACTATAGATTTTTTACTTTAATAACTTTTTATTGAACGGCTTCACCACACTGTACTTGGAGGGATCTAACCCACATAGTCATAAATCATCACTTTTAAAAAGAGCAGCACAAGAAGACAGCGGGGAACAGGCTGACAATGGCAAGTGGATAAACACAAACTCCAATAATGAAGTGTTGGCTTGTATATACTGGCATTTGAAGTCCATTCCATAAAATGCAATAAAGTGAATGTTTGTTATATGAACACAACCCCTTAGAGAGATTCTCTACTAAAAAATAAAAATCATTATCTCTTCTCTGTATTGGTTTCTTTCTTTAAAACACGACTAATAAAATGAAGTAAGATAAAATGCCCTTATGTGTTTTACACTAGCCACCAAATATTAATGTTAACAAAAGGAATTTCTTTGTACAAAGCCTTCCAAGATGATTGAGTCCAGCTGTTGCCCCAGACCTGCCAAGGCCACCACCAGCTCCTGTTCCCAAGTGCCACATCCACATGGCTTTTTTAAATCCCTCCAAGGATGGGCACTCCACCACTGTCTTGGGCAGTCTGTTCCAATGCCACCACCTTTCCAGTGAAGAAATTTTCCAAAATATCCAACCAGAGCCTGCCCTGGCCCAGCCTGAGGCCGTTCCCTCTCCTCCTGTCCCTGTTCCCTGGGGCAGAGCCCGACCCCCCGGCTGTCCCCTCCTGGCAGGAGCTGTGCAGAGCCACAAGGTCCCCCCTGAGCCTCCTTTGCTCCAGGCTGAGCCCCTTCCCAGCTCCCTCAGCTGCTCCTCATATGATTTGTGCTACAGACCCTTTCCCAGAAAGGCCTTCTCCAACCTGAACAATTCCCTGATTTCAGCAGGTGGCTGCTCTCAGGGCTGGCTTTTATTAGCTTTGATGTGGCTCAGGTCTGGCACCAGGGGTGAATCCTATTTCCCTCAAGAGACAGGAGTAGTTTTATGCAAGATACATGTGCAGCAGAGACAAGGTGAGAGAATGTTGCTTATATCACAGCTTGGTTTCTGGTCACTTTCCCAGAGGAAGACCAAGATAGAATATCTCTGCATTCACTGTCATGGAGAAGACTCAGTATTGCTGTGAGAGAAAGCAGGAGTATCTGAAGGAACATCCCCCAACTTCCTCTCTGCGCCTGATTTCCTGGCTGGTTTTAGAGACAGGTAGTTTTTGCTAATGTGACTTTCCATTATAAAGTTTCCATTGCTTTGGAAAATATTACCTTTGCTCTGTAAACAGACAGGCCCTACAGTTATAGCTGAAATATCCTAAAGATTTAGTTCCCAGTAATAATAGGGCTAAATCACAGCACCACTAGAAGTAAAAGCTACATTATTTGAAATTAAGCTTCTCATAAATATCCAGCTATGAAGTAATTTTTTATCAACTGCTCTTATATAAACTGGACAAGACAAACTGTCCTATCCATCAACATTAAGGTTGGCAAGAAAAATTACTCTGTATTCATTGTCTGCAAGTTTTGGAGATCTCCCTTTCCATTAGACTTTCCCAGGAAACACTGTGCTTGCCACTCTGAAGAACTTTGCTGGTAGCAGCCCCAGTGTCAACTTTGAGCTTCAGCCTCCTCGTGCTCCTCCTATCTCTGCCTCTGCAGGGGGGGGATGGACAGGCACCCACAGCAGCTAGAGATGATACAGCTGCTCAGACTGTCTGCTAAAAGCACCTTGAAACATTGCTGAAGTCAGAACTGCATGGCTTCAGGGTTTTCTATTCTGTTTTCTTCCAGCCCCTCTCCAAATGCTTAGAGCACATTTGTTGCAGGTCTGCAGCAGGAACCAGGCCAGTTTTCCAACATCCTGCTGCATGTTGAACCCAGAAGGGGCTGAGAATAGCAACAGGCATACATGGATGTTGCTGGACACTTTCATGCCAGCCAAACCCTTGTGGCAGAGGTAAATAGATGCCACCCAGAGCCCTGCCTGTATTTCCCACCCTTGGCTGCCCACTGCCTGCAGGTTCCCCAGCCCACTGCCCCATTTCTGTCCTGCTGCTTGTAGCTGGCAGCATGTGCAAGACTCTTTCTTGTGTTGCTCTTTTATTCTCTGGGTTTGTGGGCCAAGGTCTGATGTTCTTTCCCCAAGCCCTGGTGTCTTTGAAGCCCTGCTGTATCTGGTAGCACTCCCATGTCACTGGTGATGTACACAGCAACTGCCTTTGACACAAAAATTGCTTCTGCATGAAACTGCAGTAAAACACGACACCTGAAAGTACTGTGGTCTGTGCAAAATAGAGGGCTAATGGAAAAATGTTGCAGTACAGCTAGTCTGCAACTGAACAAGATAAATCTGGCCATAACAAATCCAATTCAGCTGACCTAGCTCATTCTAGAAAAGAGGTAACAGAGACCTCAGCCAACCCTGTTCAAACTTAAACACAGATACACCACTGGCAAGAGAGCTGGGCAGAGAGAGGTCCCATCAAATCAGCCATGTGGGCCTGGGAGATTCAAAGCCCCATTAAAAGGGCAGCCATAATAAACTCCTTGCTGTTTGCTGATGATGATTGTGTGTGTTGGTTCTGTCTCCAATCCATAACCCCACGTAATAGAAAAGCATTCCCAAAACAAAGGCACAAGGTGGACAAAAGTTCATGGCTTTGTCTCAACAGGAAGAGGAATGATAATGGTTTTTGCTTCTATACGGCAATACATGATGGCAGTGTACAGAAAAAGGGTTAAGAGGAGCAAGCAGGCTGGATTTGCCAGGCTGGTTTTGCCAGGCTGGAAATAAGGGCAAGGCATATAGGTGAAATTTCCTCCTGGTATTTTCTGTGAAAGTCTCCTTGCTGCAACTCTCACCTCTAAAGAGAATGACTTCAGGGAAATGCTTGATTAATAGCTGCTGATGTTTCCACTGACTCCTTTCTGTTCTGGGATGGAAGGCTCAGGTGTTTCTGGATAAGACTGTGGAGTTTTCAGAAATTTAGTCTACTTAAAGGACAGAAGAGACACTGAAAAGATACAGGCTTGAAAAGAACCCTTGATGTATCTGGCCCTTTGGAAAGAAATAACTTGTAGGAAGAGGAGTCAGTAAACCTGTATTGAAACAAGCCCAGCATTTGGTACCAGAACAGTGCTATCAGGCACTTCTTTCATCTTTCCAAGTTAAAATTTGTCTGCAGTGGCCAACAATGAATATGCTGAAATACATGACAGGAGAAGTCTACAGTGAGCCACTTTTGGAGACAGGTGCAAGGTGAGTCACCAAAAGTCTGGTCAAAGCCTTTCATGGAAAGGCCAGCTTACAGGTAGAAGACAGACATTTTTTTTTTTTTTAAATCATATGTGAAACCTTAAAAAATGAACCTACATTTTAACCTACAAAGAAAATAATAGTCTATTAGCGCCACTGTATTTTGCATATTAGGGAACAATTGTTTCTTAAAGCTCATAGCAGAATAATTTACTTGATGCTGGAGAATAAGTTAATTATGGATCTTCTGCCTTTGATTAATGGATTTAATAATCAAGTTACAGTAGGATTAACTTATAGTTCATGTGCTTACAGCACTAATGATGAGATGAAAGCAGTGTCAGCGCATTGGACTGGCCCCAGAAAAGGCCCCGTCTGGAGATCCCAGGACTGCCCCAGTCAGCACTTCCGGGAGGAACCAGCAACATGGCATCAGTCATCCCCATTTGCCACTTATTTCAACAGAATTAAATAGTGGTCTCAGGTGAACTAAGCACCTTGACTTAGCTCAGTTCTGGATACTATGGGGGGAAAAGTTTTCCTAGGGGATGGGTACAATAGTAGGTAATGCACAGACACTGGCAACAGCCACCTGTAGACTGCTGTGACCCAGTATAACAGGCTGAACATTATTTAATGCTTTTGGGCACATAATACAAGTATAAAATTCCTTGGATAGAAACACACTGAGTCAGCCAAGATTTCCTACTTCTAAGGAACCTCAAGTATAGGTAATTAGTACAGCCTAAGAGACAGAGAACTCCAGTTTCTAAACTTAACTCCAGATCCAGTTTAAGGAGAGGAGCCATTGCAGGACAGAGAAGGTAGAAGG